TAGCTTATTGGATTTATTATCGATATCTTATTCTTCTTGACCTCGCCCTGAGTGCTTTGACGCCACCTTCACAATGATCATCCACACCTCCTATATAAGTGACCTTGCGACCGCGCCCACGTTATTGACATCTAACCTCGACGGGATATATGTAGAGCAACACCGCTTGTAGCCTCCCATTCTGGCTTTGGAGAGCCACTGTGAATCAAATCGCTATTTCCATGCCGTTCATTTCCCTGTACAATGGCACCGTGCTGCCCAGCTCCTGCACGCCTTCCACCTTCCAGTACCCGATCCTCCAGGGCGCGGACTTCCTGACCCTCAACACCAACTACATCTCCAATTACTCGGCCTACATCGTCAATGGCTACTACCCGGGCCACCCCAACGCCAACGTCGTTGGCGCCTCCTTCTGCAACGTTTCCGTCTCCTACACTCGTCCGGGTCAGAACAATACCATCAACGCCCAAGTCTGGCTGCCTACGACATGGAACGGCCGCATGCAAGGCATCGGTGGCGGCGGCTTCGGCTCGGGCCTCTATGACACGGTCTTCCAGGGGATGTATGCCTCGGTCGGCGACGGCTTCGCAACAGTCTCCAACGATGCCGGTCTGCCACAGCCAATGAACGTGACAGCGCCAGAATGGGCCCTGACGAGCACGGGCAACGTGAACCTGTACGCGTTGCAGAACTTCGCGTCCATATCGCTAAATGACGGTGCGGTGATCGCCAAGAGCATCATTCGGCAGTACTACGGCCAGAACAGCTCCTATGGCTACTGGAGCGGCTGTTCCGGCGGCGGTAGGCAGGGCATGATGCTCGCGCAGGAGGCGCCTGATGCTTACGACGGCATTATGGCCGGCTCACCCGCTATGAACTGGCCGTCTTTCTTCGTCGCAGACTATTGGCCCCAGACCGTGCAGCAGGAGCTCGGCGTCGTGCCACTGAACTGTGAGCTGGATGCGATCTCGGCCGCCGCGGTGGCGCAGTGTGACGGCGACGACGGCCTGATTGACGGGGTAGTCTCATTCCCAGAGCTGTGCAAATTCGATCCGCGAATCCTCGTGGGCACCACGGTTGCTAACTGCAGCGACACAGGCGTAAGCCAGGTCATCTCGCCCGCGGCAGCAACGGTGGCGCTTGCGGTGTGGGAGGGCGCCAAGGACGTCGTGCGCAACGAGTCGCTGTGGTATGGTTTTAGCCGCGATGCCACGCTAACCAGTGAGTCGGGTCTCGCGGGACCGGATTACTTTATCAGTCCCGAAGAGTGGGTGAAGCGATTCATCTTCAAGGACGCAAGCACAGATACGTCGAACATTATGCCCTCGGACGTGGCCGAGCTCTTCCACAAGTCAGTGCAGTGGTACCAATCCTTGATCGGGACTGCCGATCCGAATCTGGATAAGTTTAAAGCGAATGGAGGCAAAATTGTCTCTTTCCATGGATTGGTATATTCTTTGGTTTTATATATACATATTGTAGAATTTCTACTGATGATCCTCCAGGCTGACGGCCTCATCTCTCCGTGGGGGACCCAAGACTACTACGACAAGGTTACGGCACGCGACTCTGCAGTGCACGACTACTACCGCCTCTTCTTCGCGCCAGGACTGCAGCACTGTTACGGAGGCAACGGTGCCTACCCGGAGACAGCCTTCGGCGCCCTCGTGAACTGGGTCGAGAACGGTGTCGCGCCCGAGACGCTAAACGCCACGAGTTTGCCGACGCGCGTGGGCGGTATTATCACGAGGCCGTTATGCGCGTACCCTAAACAGCAGTATTACGAGGCGTGCGCGACGCGGGATTGTTTCGTTTGTAAATAGGTGTCAACGCCAGACGGTGATGAGTTGCGGTTTTCGATGTATTCTTTGTTCGTGATTGATTCGAGGAGGATATGATAATTTGCAAGATTGTGTGTAGCAAGATGAGGTATGTTGCTTTGTGAAGACGGCACATTAGCTTATGTATTATCTCAAAGACGTTTCTGGAGCTCGAGCGTGGTGGACCGGGTATCTCAGGTCGTCGCTTGGTGACAAGTCAAAGCAGATCTTCTTGCTTAGCAGCAATATGAACAGAACAGGAAGTGGACACAAACTGACATTATACTAGTTCTTAAACTTCTCGCAAGTTCAAGCATTCGGTGCAAGCAAGAAATCTAGTTGCAACTTCTCTGCTTCAGCAGTATCGGACTCTGCTCCAACGTTGTCTCGGTTCTGTTCTGCGTCGCCACAAGCCAGTGAATCATGCAGACTTTCCTGTTCAATCTCGCGATATCTTTGGAGTGTCTGCTCTAGATTGTCTGTGTAGTTCCGAAGTGCCTGGATCAGCTTGTCCCAGAACCTGGTCCATAAGGGGAAAGTGTTTTTGGTGATGCTACTGTGCCGATTCGTAGTGCCTCCGCTTTCGATGGACAATGGCGAAATCGTCTATGCTGCATAGCAGAATGCGTTCGTGAATGGTCGGAGCGGAGCATTCCTTCGCGAAGCACTAGCGGCTCTGGTGTATAGTCTCGCCTTCCTCGTACTTCTCGAGTATATCGTGACTATCTCCAATAAGAGACGGTAGATCGCCATAAGCGTCCTGATCTGTAATTTCCGTTTGATCACTCAAAACAGCGTCTGTATATGACATGTAGCGAACCCATACTGTAAGGCCAGTGCCTCAATGGTATGTGGCAGCGACTTCACGGAAACAACGGGAAACGAAGATCTGGATGGAAACGATCAAGTAATCTAGCTACAGGCCACGAGAGTGATGATGATCAGGCGTTGATGATCCTCTCAATCTGAATGTGGCAAGACGTAGCAAAAGTGATGAAATAACAAGGCGGAAAAGCTTGTAGCAGCCGTGGGGGAAGTTAGGTACTAGGTTAGTACCTAGCGTGGGTGCCTAGCGGCGCTTGGTTTTCATTGTAGTTATATCGTTGTCCTTGTCGGTGTCCTGCTCATCCGACAGTTCCCAACAACCATGAAGGCCAGTCGACATGCCCGTATCATGTTTCTCCTTGTTACCTCGAACATCTTCTCCCTAATGCTCGGCCTAATATCGAGCAACACCTTATGGAGTACAAAAGAGGCTGTTGTGAATGATGTTGTCTTTGTCATCCATGGTGAAGATCGCACTAGTGACCCGCAGCTCTTTGTTACAAGTGAGGCACCAGATTGCCTCGTGATATTGGAATACTCACTCGCATGTGTCAATGGTTTCTCGGCTTTCTGAACAGTTTCTAGACAGCGTTTATAAATCTGTTCGTATTTAATTGCCCTGTTATTGGCTTTGTTGCTGGATTCAGGCAAGTTTTGGGCTGGGAGAACAAGCGACGGGATCAAGCGCTCAGCAGAAAGATTGGGCCTGAGCCAGTCAATGGCAAGCCATAAGACGTGGAACCGTTACAAATGCTTGGGGGACGTTGATTGTGGCAGAATTGATAGGCAATTCTTAGAATGGTAAGTCAAATTAAGTAGCCTTGGAATTCTGCGGTGCTCACGCAGGAAAGGGAACTTGCGTGGCTGCGGCTTTCTTTCAATAACACTGTCGGCAAAGGTGTGACACTGGGTTCGTCGACGATCGATGACCATATCCATTCTGGCTAAATAAGGTACGCACCAAAAACATGCCAATTTTCATATCTTACACTGATTAATCGGCGAATAGCTTTCTACGTGAGTTGCCCCTATGGTTTATTACTGTCAAAATCACGCTGCACGCTGTGTACAATACTTCTTGGAGCCCTTTCTTGATCTTTGATCTCTATTCTCTCTAAGTCTACCATGAGTATACCAGCTCCACATAGTGTATAGTCGATTGGTATCAATGGCGCTCGTTTAACTCGATATTGCTCGAGGTCTTTACGAAACTGTTGTCCGTCGCGGAGAACCCCGCATCAAACGCACAAGCCTGGTCGTCAGGTGTTGGTCCAAGATTTCTGGGCCAGTAGAAGAAGAAAATGACCATGACGAAGAACATGGGAACTGCGTCAAAGACATAAATGGTCCACTCATTGGCCATGACATAACCACTGTAGCCCGTGACGAATTCGACAACACGGAAAATGCTGCGCACCATGATGAGGGCGCTCACGCCGTACAACATGTACAAGCTCGACTTCCAGCCAGCTGTGCTATCGGTCGCAGCCTGGGGACTTCCGTGCTGGAATCGGCGCTGGAATATCACAGCGGTGACAACGAAGAAGCCAAACATGGCAATCTGGATCACGAGGCCTGCCACGACGATCCATTCGCCCATGCTTGATAAGCTCGAGACTACTTGCAACCCAGCGCCTCCGCCCTGTACACAGAATGCTACGACATCAGCCCACACAAAGGTCTTGGTGAGAATTGCGGGCCTGATGACGGAATATTGCTCTCCTCCTGTCGCGCGGATGATGCGACCAAGGACCATGTAGATCGAGGCGGCGAAGAGAATGGGAGGTAAGAGGATGAAGATGCTTTGGACGATGTACGGGAGCAGCCGGTTGGTCTCATTATTGCAAATCGCTCGGAAAACATAGCCTATGACTTCCACTAAGTGGTATTAGCAAAATTTGTGTGAAAGATGAGTCCGAAGAACTTACTGAAACCGCCGACGACAAAAGGGATGCAGAACCAAAGCCGAGTTCTCCATAGCCGCCAGGATTGTGCTAATGTGACCACGAGGTATAAAGCAAGGAAAATGATTGCTGCGGGTAGCGAAGGCACATAATGCCAAATGTAGTATCCGGATTTCAAAGGTAATAGTTCGCCCATTGTGTAAAACAAAAAAGTGATAGGTAGAGAGGATGCAATGAAAACAAGATGTAATGGACAGGTGAAATGCAATGGGTAAATTGGTTTGATGTGAGTATCATTTGCATGGCAATCTGATGACGGTTGTTGCAAGCAAGCACCCGTAATATATGAGATGCTGCAAACATTAGATTTGGAAGTAGCTTGCTTTGCTGACTTTGTACACTTCCGCCCGCCGGCAGGGTGGACCGCGCCCCAGCTTCGCCTTTCCCGAAATTTGAGACTCAGCCTGCAGGCTTGTTAGGAGTCGGAAAAGATATCAATGCATTCTGCATCGGCTAACCCACCCGCTAAAATTGCGAATCGCAATCATAATACGTATGGATCTATGTATCGAACGAGCGAGCCAAGGAGGCGGAGACAAATACGAATACACAGTCGTTGAAACCCCGGAATACTACATATGTATGTGTACGCATACCAATACGATTTAGGCAGGGCTTAATGGGCCCTAAAAGCTAAAGCGGGACGAGCAAACTAGTACCCAGTGAATAGTGCCTTAATACGACCGACCCACGAATCCACTCGGCCAGGGATATCAGCTAACCAATGAGATGTCCCTTAATACGGTCTGCAACCCTTACAGAGACCACCAAAACCACTTGCGGCTTGAGCTAATTTGTCGGCGGCCAAATCGGGGACCGCACTCCACACCCTGGAGAAGATCGTGTAACGAAGTCCCATACAGACTCCCGACCGCTTTGGTCGCTATTGAGCTGGGGCATGAATCTGGCGGGAGAACCTCAACCAAACAGCCAACACCTTCAGGGTATTGCGTGATTAGGCCGGTAACATGATCACTTCAGGGTTGCATCTTGTGCGGTCGCACTTGTATGTGAAATTGTATGTATTGTGAACCGATCGAGATGTGTTATTGAACAAATTGAAAGAAAAGAAAAGCATCAAAAAGTCAAGAAAAACGCAATCAAACTGCAACTGATCACCATTTTGATCTGGCACCACAACAGACCGATGGGTCCATTGATTAGGACCCCCACCACACTATAGCAAATACATAACAGCTAGTAAAACGAGCCCTGGATGTCGCAAGCTTTAATAGCATTATAACGATGTAGCTACACTATTAGGGTTATAATTTGCTATTGCCAATATCTTGTGATGATATCCGTCGTTGAACAGTGATGACTAGCTTGCCAAACTGATTCCCAGACTTCATATCCTCGAATAATCCCTCAATCTCCGCCAGGTTCTCGATGTCTCCAACGACCTTGGATACTATAGGACGGAGGCCTTCGGTGCTAACAAACTTTACCATATCACGAAACTCCTCCCTTGAGCCCATAGTTGACCCTTTTACCTCGATATTCTTTAACACTGCCTTCATAGTGAAATCCATTCGCGGCGCTTGTGTCATACCGTAAATGACAAGCTGGCCGCCAGCCTAACTCAAGGCATCAGTGTTAGCAATATAGTAAAGCTTGGGATTAAGCTGGCAGATAATTCTCGTTGATAAAATGAGTGATCAGAGGTTGGGTTGCATACTGACCTTGAGTAGCGTGACAGATTTCTCGACTATATTGCCGCCGGCTCCGTCAATAATTGCGTCAAACTTTGGCCGCTCTTGAGGCAGTGCGCGGACAAGTTTGCTTTCCCAGTCTTTTTCCTTGTAATTCATGCCACCACGCGCTCCTAGTCTCTTGGCCTCCTCGATTTTATGCCCATGAGAGCTCGTCACCCATACATTACAGCCCCGTGCCACGGCAAACATAAGTGCCATCAGGGCTACGCCGCCACCAATTCCCGTAATCAGTACATTGGCGCCATTGCGTGAGTTGTTTTCGCCGGCCTTGCTGACGAGCGCTCTCCATGCTGTTAGACCAGTGACAGGCAGTGCCGCTGCCTCGGCAGCGCTTAGGTGTTGCGGTATCACTTCAAGTTGGTCATCCCTGATGGTCAGATACTCTGCCAGCGTCCCCTTCTTGTAGTACTTTGTCCCTCCCAGCAACGAGTACCAACCGTCAGAGACTTCAGGGCCTGACGGACTGGTGATCCACCCAAGACCCGGATTCAGGATAACATGTTTCTGTAACCAGCTTGAATCGACGCCTTCCCCGACTTCCGTTACGATGCCTGCACCATCGGCAAGCAGTGGTACTCCAAATGTCGTTCCTGGATACATGTTTCGGCGTATGAAAACATCTCGGTGGTTCAGCGCTGCAGCAAAGATCCTCACCAGCACTTCACCTCGTTGGGGTGTGGGTATCGTAGCATCACAGAGCTCCAAGGGGTAGTAAACTTCACCCGCATTGCCTTTCGTTTTCCGAATTGTTATATACTTCATGGTGCTTGAATCGAAGAGAAGACAAGAAAAGCACCTATGCTTAATGGCGTACGCATCTAAGAGGATTGGGTTGGGGGTTTCGGGAAATTCTTGCTGTGGGGACAACGCTGTTTCTAATAGGATCAAACAGTGTGTCTCGGGTAATTTAAAATCAACCATGGCTCACCTCGGTTAATTATGACCTCGTTCAAGTGACTGGTATATTAAATAGGCTTCTCAGGAGGAGCGGATCACTTTTCAAAGGCAGATGTTGACTGTAGCGTGCAAATATGGCTCTCAGTCCGCAGCAAATTGCTGGGGGGAGACGGCAACCGGTGAACTTCCATCCGCTGTCGCCTACTTCTTTCCTGAAGCGCGCTGCGTCGATCAGTCCTGAAGTAGTGCCTCCAATCTCAGTAATTTCCCCAATATTATCATTAACAATTTGATGCAGACGCCCGCCATCGTACACGTCGATCGGCAAGGACAAAGGGTGCAATGGTCTTACCAAAGCATGAGCGATGCGGTTATGGGCTTGGCTTACTATCTCAAGGCCAAGAACCTCCGACGCGTTGGCATTTTCGCTCCAAATACACCAGCATTTCTCATATCCGTTTATGGGATCGGGGCTGCCGGGGGAGTCAACGTCGGTATGTCCCCGGTTTTCTCCAGTCAGGAACAAGTTTCGGCTAGTTGCTCTCATCCTGTATTAACAGATATGTGAATTTCTCTCTTAGCTGTTAACTATCGCCTAAGTCCCACCGACGTTGCCTACATTTTTGCGCACGCTGAAGTCGAGGCGATCATTGCTGATCAAGAATTCGTGCATCTTCTTGATATATTTCGTCGTGATCATCCTGGAGCTCTAGTGATTACCGATGATGACGTTACTGAATCAAACTGCTCTTTCAATCAGGCAATCGAGAAAGGACTTCAGCAGAACGTCTTGGAAGGCGCAAAGGGTTGGGAAGGTTTGTTGCTCCATCCGGAAAATGAGCTTGACGTCATTGCCCTGGCCTACACAAGCGGTACTACTGCTCGGCCCAAGGGCGTGGAATACCTTCATCGTGGTGCCTATCTCGCATCGCTGGCGAATGCTGCAGAATATGGCTTGGCAAATATCCAGAACGAATGTCGGTATCTGTGGACATTGCCGATGTTCCACGCTCTAGGTTCGTTTGTCCTCTTGAATACTGTATCCAGCTCTGCTTACGGCAATTACTTACTATGGTACTGTGCAGGATGGTGTTGCGTCTGGGCAGTAACAGCTGTGCGAGGGACGCATTATTGCTTGCGGAAAATAGATTATCCACGAATCTGGGCACTCTTGAGAGAAGAGCGAATCACGCACTTTTGTGCTGCTCCGACTGTCAACACCCTACTGTGCAGTTCCCCGGAAGCTAGAACACTTGCCAACCCTGTAAATGTGATCGTCGCCGCAAGCCCGCCGACTCCGACCTTGTTCAAGCAATTGAAAGCCTTCAACTTGCATCCAACCCACGTATATGGTATGACGGAAACTTACGGACCTGTCACTAAATGTTATCCCTCACCAGCTTGGGATCAACTTTCCAGTACTGACAAGTTTGAACGCATGGCGCGTCAAGGACACGAGCTCCTGACAAGTCTGCCTGCCAGAGTCATCCGCCAACCGAATACCTCAGATGATCACAATGCTTCTCTTATTCTTGAGAACGTAAGAAGAGACGGTACTGAGATTGGCGAAGTTGTTTTTACAGGCAATGTCTGTGCGAATGGCTATTATAAAGATGCCGAAGGCACCAAGAGGCTTTTTGAGGGTGGGGTTCTACACTCGGGCGACCTAGCCGTCTGGCATTCTGATGGTGCTATTCAAATCGTGGATAGATCGAAAGATATCATAATTAGTGGTAAGTCTATCGTCAATTGGGAATCGAAACATCTTGTCACTATTATATGCTGATTACCCACATATTATAGGCGGCGAGAACATTTCGTCCGTGGCCCTTGAGTCTATTCTTGCTGGTCATCCAGATATTTTAGAAGTCGCCGTTGTAGCAGTCAAGGATCAGCAGTGGGGAGAACGACCAGTGGCGTATATCACAGTCAAGCCAGAACGACCGGTGCTGGCGCGAGATATCGTGGAATGGGCAAAGCAAGCGCCGGGCATGAGTCGATTCATGGTACCTCGTGATGTGATTATCCTTGGAGCTTTACCCAAAACCGAGACGGGAAAGATACAAAAGCACATTCTGCGTTCGTGGGGGCAGGAAAATTGTCGCTTATACAAGCTGTAACATATTATTGTTGATCAAGGTGGTGCTTTCCTATTGGAGTTTAAACTGGACTGATACGGGTGTCAATTGTGTGATGTATTGATCTATGTTCTGCGCCTCCAGTTTTGACGAAGTGTACGCTTATTAGGGTGGCCCCGTCTAGAGGTCCCGCACATCTATCTGAACACCATGGTGTTGATCAGTGTGCTCAAGCACACCCCAGTGTATGGTAACTATGATCCACCATCTGACAATAATAATATACCGGAAATTCATTGAATTCTTTTTGCCTGACCCATTCCACCATCGCGGCTCGGCCCTTCGGAGAATTCGGGGTTCTGCACCGCTGAATAGTCCGCCCGATTGGGGGGCGCATTAGCGTAGTTAGGTGACCTAATTGAACACTTTTATAGTTGACGCCATTATTTTGCTTACCTATTCTTGTGTATTATAGTTCTTGGCTGGTTGCTGGGCAGTAAGCATTTGGAATCTTGTTATGATGACAATGTGACGGCTAGAATACATCCACAGCGTCATCGGGACAACAAAAGAAAAGCATTCATCACAGCAATGGGATTTATCAAAGTATATGTTCGCTGCCAAAACTAGGAACTGCAAATGAACCATCTTCTCAAAGATTACTTTGACACCAATTTCGAGTAATGGAATTCAATCAAATTACTGGACTTCTAGTTCTTGCTGGAGGCTACGTACTATGGAAATTTGTCCAGGTAAGCATTTGGTATACCATTGTGAACGAATACACCAACCAAGATTAGATTTCAAGAAACCCCCTCAATGCCATACCTGGGCCATGGTATGCAAAGTTCACCAGCATTCCCGGCACCATTGCGACCCTCTCAAGGCAGCAGGTTCAGTACTACCATGACCTCCATCAGAGACACGGCCCATTTGTCCGCACTGGCCCGAACCAGGTACTGGTCAATGATATCGATGCCTTTAAGACAATCCACAAGATCGGAGGCCACTTTGACAAAGCCGACTACTACCACTATTTCGGAGTGACTGAAGCAGGAAAGCCACCCTATGGTCTATTTCAAATGACGGATAGATCAGACCATGCGCGAAGGCGGAAACTGCTAGGGAAAGGCTTCACGGTCGCCTCGCTTCGCACCGAATGGGAGCCAATGGTGTCGGAAAAGGTTGCAGCCACCATTGACGGAATGCGCGGCGATGCGAAACTCTTCAGCGGTGAGGTGGATGTTCGCAAGTGGTGGGTCCTGATGGCTTCGGATGTCATCTCGAAAATGATGTTTGGGGAGTCATTCGATGCTCTCAAGACTGGACAGGTATTCCATTGTTTGCTTGACATATAGTACTCTGAAGTTGAAATAGTGCTGACATATGATCAGGAAGATCCATGGTTGGAGGAGGTCAACTGTGCCAACCAAGGTGCCTTTAGTGCGCTCATGTTCCCGTGGCTTCATGCGATTCTGAAGCGCTTCCCTGTCGTCGGCCGAGCTCATCTATTCCATGCTCACAAGGCACTATTAGGCAAGGGCCAGGCAGCTCTTGACAATAGTAGAGACGCTGCTAATCTTGACGCTGCCAACATCTTTTCCAAAATCAGGAACGAAGCCGACAAAGATGAAGCGCAGCTGACGGGTCTGGAAATGAGCGTGGAGGCTGGCTCATTCATGATTGCTGGAACTGACACCACGTCCAACACACTTACCTACTTGCTCTGGGCAGTATTGTCGCAACCGGAGCTGCAACGGACACTTGAGAAAGAAGTAGGAGAAATTGAAGAGCCACTCACCGACACGACTCTTGAGAGACTTGCACTATTGAATGCAGTCATTCAAGAGACGCTCCGCTTATACGGCGCCGCCCCCGGTCCTTTACCGAGAGTCGTACCCTCTGGCGGCGTTGAGCTCGGCGGGTACCACCTCCCGGGTGGTGTCACGGTGGCGACGCAAGCCTATACCTCGCATAGGGATCCTAGATTCTTCGATAGCCCCGAGACGTGAGTTTTTGGCGTTTTCCTGTCAAGCTTGACATGCTGACTCATCTTTCAGATTTGACCCTACCCGCTGGTTGACGCCGGGAGAACGTGCAAATTCCGAGACGGCCAAAGCAGCTTTTGCGCCCTTTGGAGCCGGGTCCCGCGTGTGCATTGGCAAGGCGCTGGCATACATGGAACTTCGCTACGGCGCGGCCATGTTCTTTCGTGTATTCAGAGGTTGTCATCTAGCACCTTCGGCCACTCCAGAGAGTATGGAGATGGATAATCTTGTCTTGATTGAGCCGCGAGGCAAGGTCCTCAAAGTTGTACTGCCTCGGTCATCGATTTAGGTCAGGCGATTTATGTATGGGCACACCGTGCTGAAAGCCCAAACGCTAAAGGCATTGTGGGATACAGCAGTGCTGTGTTGGCAAAATGACACTGGCAGAGAATGGTAATTGTATCACTCGGTGCGCTTTTGGGCCATAGAAACTCCCCCATCTCTATTTGACAAAGTAACACAAGATGCAACTAGATTCAAGCACTGCTTGGGACGTTGTAACATGTGCATGCTGTAACAAAACCTCTAGCGCTGCGAACCGGGGAGTTACAGGTTTAGGTGGGGCTGGCCTGGCCACTGACTCCTGAAACATTGTCTCAAAGGAATATACCGTTCCGTTCAAAATCACTACCGCAGCGTCAGAATCTGCCGCTTGAAGACACGAAAAAAAATTTCAAAGTTTTCCACTCAAGTTATCATCATGAAAAATGTAAAGAGGCTGTATTAATATTACCTATTAATTCTTTCATGACAGACAAGTGGTCCATGGAAAGGTGAGGGAGCCAACCTGAATATGAAATGTCAAAAGCCTGGTCAAATCCATCCAGAAAGACTTCCGCAACGCCCGGCATGTAGGAATGAGCAATTATTGGGCTCTCCGACAAGATATACTTGTCTTATTAAACCGAGACGTTAAGCACGGGAATCAAGTTGATTGTCACCTGCTCGCCGTAAAGCTGGTCGCCAATTTCGAGAAGTGGGTCGCCAGGAGTGACCTGGAAAATAGATTGCTCCATAGCGGTGCACGTCAAAGTAGTGTCGGCATTCATCTTGCACACGTCGACCTCCCAATTAACGTTGATCAGCGCCGTGGCATCCTGCACGCTGGGGAAGAAGTACTGGTAGTGCAGATTGGTAGTGCTGCCGATCATGGCCAGCAGCCCGCCGTCCGAGGTCGAAAGGGTGCAGTCGCCGTTGAAGCGGAACTGCTGCGCGTTCTGCCGGGCGGCTGAGAAGCTGGCGCGGTAGCCAGACCCAAACAAGTTTTGTAGCTGGACAAAGTTTCCGTCGACCGCAAAGTCGCCTGTACCGGAACCCAGGAGCACAAATGCACCAGTGATGGTTGCGCAGGGGCCGGTCACTGTCGCCGATGTGGTTGTTTCCGAGGTTGTTGTAGAGGGTATACTCGTCATTGTATCCGACGTAATTATCTCCGAGACACTGCTAGAAGATGTGGTCATGACCTCTGACGAAGTTGTGATGGACGATGCACTCGTCGTTGCATCCGACGTACTTGTCTCTGAAACACTGCTAGAGGATGTGGTCGTGACCTCGGACAAAGTTGTGCTCGAAGACGTACTTGTCGTAATGTCTGACGAAGTCGTGTCTGAGACGGAGCTGGATGATGTGGTTGCTGCGTCTGATGAACTTGTTTCCGAGACGGAGCTGGAGGATGTAGTCGCCGTTGCTTCTGATGCGGTCAAGACTTCGGATGAGCTCGTGCTGGAAGTTTCACTCGTCGTTGCTTCTGATGAAGTCGTGCTAGAAATCTCACTCGTTGTTTGATCTGCTGAAGATGTCGAGGTGAATACATCAGATACGGTGCCAGAGCTGGTCAATGCCTATAAGATGGTCAGCGTGTGCTCAAATACTGCGTGACCCGATTGGTGTTCAAACCGAGGAAGTAGTTGATGCAGTATCCGAAGAGCTTGTTTCCGAGGAATCCGAGGATGTGGATTCTGGGTCAGAAGAGGCCGTTGTGATAATCATCGAACTACTGGTAGATGGCGTGGAAGAAGAGCTGGTGGTCGTCGTTATTGTCACAGAGGGTACTGGAGATGACGTAAATACTGAAGAAGAAGAAGAAGAAGAGGACGAGACTGGATATTTCTCTCCTCCGCACTTCCTCTTACGCGCAGGCCGCGAACGCAATTCCTTTGGCGACGACTGATTGGCATTATTCAAGATACTCAAGGACTTGTGACCTCCACAGGTATCCTGAGCATCACCAGTACAGGCCAAATTACACTTGGTTTCGTCCAAAGTACTGAACTTATTATTACTTCCATGCCAACAGTAGCAGTCGCTGCCTTCAGAAAGGCCTGCCACTTCATAATTCTTGTTTTGGCAATAGCTGGCGCAAAGCTGGCGCGTCATGTCACCTTCATCGATCAGTGAGATCTCGGCGAATGGCGGCAGCTCAACACAGCCATAGTATGACCATCCTGCCGGCGAGCCACGGGCCACGAGGTTCTCCTGTCCGGCAATAGCAAGACTCGAAGCAGATGAAATGAATGCTGCACAGGCGGCCGAGGCTGCCAGAAAGAAGTGCATATTCTAGTCTATTTCTTGAAAAGAGTGTAGTATAAGTGAATGAAATGCGACAGGGGGGATCTTCTTTTGCTCCAGGAGACGAGAAGTGTTTAAATAAGTCAACAAGATGAGGTCTGATATGAGACATATAGCTACATAGTCTCGATCGGGATCGGGGACGGTATATAGCTGAAGGTTGACGCCGCCCTTGATGAGCGGCTGCCATCTATTAGTTCAGTTTGGGGGTTAGCTGTGTAAGTAAGCTTAATATCGCTCCTCGTTAGCTTTTGAATGGGGGACGCTCTAATAAGCCGAACCTTCTTTGAAAGAGCACTTGCAGCGGCCGGATTGTGCTCATCACTTTTGGTGCGCTCTATCATAATTTATTGATCTGGGGAAGTCAACCAAGGGGAGTGGTGATCGATGGTCGCGCCCTGTCCGGGTCACAAGCTTCCACTCGACAGCCTTCAAGCCAATCTCATGGGAGGGACTATGATGCTATAGGCCGTCGGGCCGACCCTATCAATAGCACTCGCGAGAATCGCGCTGGCCAACACGCAAGGAGACTCCAACATGTCAAATCCTGACATACTGGAGTGCAATAATCGCTTGTGCACTAGGGTCATGCGTGATCTGTCTGTCACGAATGGTACGTTCGACGCTGGTATTCTCAACGACATTGGGCTGGAAGGCGCCCCAGATCGTCACGAGGCAGACATATGAGCTGGTAGCGATTTCGAGCAATTCTTGATCTGGCAGAGCTTTAGGATGAACACAGAGCTCGCGAGGCACGAGGGCGTGTTATACGAAGAATGGTAAAGTTTCTAGACAATATCTTCCATTCGTAGCTTTTTACCATCTGGAGAGTACATATTGACAATCTGCATGAGAGGCATGTCAATTGATAGCAGTGGAGTATTTCCTCGCAGCCAGGGATTGTTGTATAGTGCTATACAGCATCATGTTAGCGGCACCAATCAAGAGCCCCAAAGCTTTCTGTACTCATCATATGCTTGCTACATCTTGTACTATCTGGACACGATACTGAGTTCTACTTGTGCTCTCTTTCAAGACTACTTCTCCAATGCCGATGGCTTGAAACGTATTTACACGACCACTAGAGTCCAGGGGGGAAAGAGATAATGAACAGATTGTATATTGATCGCAGAGGTCATCGGGATAAGTTGACAAGCGCACTCTCGATTGGTCCTTGCGTCAATCAGTACATGCCGTGCTTTTGGTTGCAGCTTATAGTACCATCATGATCCTTAGCAGCTGTGGTTCACGTATCAAGTTGTCGCCCTGTTAATGTGTTACCGGCTTTTCATTCTTCTTCGTGTGGAGTAAGCTACAACTCATAGCACAAGATTGTATATACAAGCCCACTGATTCCCCAAAGGCCGGAAGTGTACCTGGGCTGGTGTCAGTCTATTCTTTGTATCCAAATTTGGGGTCCGTTCCTGCTGAATATTACAGGGGTAATTTACTCTATCCCTAATAAGCGTATCTCTGCAATCCAGGGGTATTAATAGTGTTATTACATTTCCTGACTCGCTTAAGCGTAGCGAGTGCATTTACACCAGCTCGAACAGTACTGCCAAGGGCAGCATCGGCGCCAAGGAACCTAAATTTGAGGCGCCAGCAAACGCACTATGAAAACCTCGCTTGTTACCCTCTGCACCCAAAACCCCTCTTGAACTGGTTCCTCTCGATCCCCAAATGCTTGGACTAGATCTTTCGCGCTGACCAAGTTCTATTTGGCTGTAGCACCTACTTAATTACCAGTTTCGCTGCAGAAAATGAAACTGATGCAGTTTGAAGTACTCGCAGCCTTATCTTCAAAATAATAAAAGGTACATTTAGGAATTCCCCTGTGGTCATCTAAGTTCAGCTGTCGGTAGCCTAGCTGAGGAAGCGCCTCCGAGCTTCGAACGAGTATCCGTCGCTTGGTGGGTACGACGCTGATTTACCATTGGGTCTTTGCTTTATGCAATGAACTTTACATTTTCGATTTCAGGAGGATGGATTGAACTTCAGGATGAGGCTCCCGTAACCTTTTAATCGCCAGAAGGATCCGCAGGAACCGTGTACAGGGGCCCTTTCGTGCTGCTCGCACCTGTAAATTTTGAAATGGTGCCATTGATTAAAAGACGTCCAAGGCCAGGCACGAGACATCTTGAAAATAACAAGAGAATTTGATCTGTTAGACAGCAGTCAAGTTCTAGTTAGTATGATGACTCAATTCCCCAAACCAACACAATTGACACCAATTCCCGATCATGCTCAAGTTCTGCAAGGACCCACTGGAGTCTCGGGGCGGATTGTTAGAAAAGATCGCCAAGATCCGCATGTTTTTTCTTCCAATGTTCAAACTCACGTTGGAGCTCATTGTACAGTAGACGCCGGTGATGAGGGGTTCAATTACAGTGGTGCTCATGATGAGTCGAAGAGGATTTTGCAGCTGTCAGCAGTAGAAGGAAACATATCTTCGCAGCGGGCTTTTTTTTTTTTTTTTCCATGTCACCCGGTGGCAGTCAGTGTACATAACTGGAGTATGGGTGGAGTTCGGGACCTATGGCTCACATTCCCTCGCGAGTTGTTGGGTGACAGATGGAATGAGCAATGTCCAATTGAATCTACCTATGCTTGATGCGCGAAAAGTATCGCTGCATTGGGCCACTGGCATACTGCCTACAGATAGGCTATCATATTTTACGCCGAACCCTGTTCAATATAAGCGGCACAATTGATCCACATTAACAAGACTAATCACTCCCCTATGGCCTATCATCATGGCGGTTTGCGCTTGGCGTAGATTCTTTGTTATAAGCATTTTCCCAAAAGCTGTGTCTATTGACGGGTGCCAGCAAATTCTGTCAAAGGCGGGGTTTGTGTAATCATATGATAATAGCCGTGGTACATGTGCGTACATATTGACTTGCTCGCAATCACATCATCTTGCGACTCCGGTCTACTTCCTCAGAAACATTTTCCAAGACATCCAAAGCGACAAAAAGACATGGCATTCGCAGCATCCAAAGAGATCGTTGATGGCATCAAATACGGTCTCAGCTACTCCGCGCAAGTCGAGTCCGAGTCGGGTGTGTTCAAAGCCGCAGTCCAGAATCTCGAGGCAGCTGGTCTAGGTGATGTGATTTACACCCCGGCTCGCCAGCACAATATTTATGGCTCTCGTATCGACTCGTATTGGTCTTTGACCCCACGTCTACGCCCATGGGCCATTGTACAGCCTCGAGACACGTCGGAAGTATCCAAGGCCGTTATTGCGCTGGTCAAGACTGATGGCTGCAATTTTGCCGTGCGCAGGTACGCAGGAAAAACTTCTTTGCGTAATGCATGCAAGTCTAAGCAATACTTAGTGGCGGCCATACATCCATTCCAGGCTCTAACAACATAGCCGATGGTATCACATTGGACCTTGGTCTGATGAACAAGACCGAGTACGACCCCGAGACCAAACTTGCTTCAATTCAGCCGGGTGGGAGATGGACCGACGTGTATGCCTACTTGGAAGAGCGTAAGTGACTTTTCTGAAAACTCTTTGAAACTGAATGTCCGTATTAATTGTGGTCCATCTAGGAGGTGTGATGGTGGCTGGAGGCCGCGAAGGCCTCGTTGGTGTTGGCGGCTTATTGACTGGTGGGGGAAAGACGTACTACACCTGCCGCGTCGGATTTGCTTGCGGTGAGTGAAAAGCGATACACTTGGCCAAAAGCTCGCCACAGATTATCACTGACACGTAATTGATAGATCAAGTCGTCAATTACGAGATTGTACTTGCCGATGGAACAGTCACTGCTGCAAACGAGAACGTCAACCCAGATCTGTTCCGGGTCCTCAAAGGCGGCTCCAACAACTTTGGCATTGTGACGCGTTTTGACATGAAGTCATTCCCTGCACATGATGTCTACGACGGCATTGTGACCTTTCCGATGGATGCAGAAGCTGCCGTCATTGACGCTTTCATCGACTTTACGAAACAGCTTCATGTTGCAGATGATGCCCACATTATTGGTCTATGGGCGTCGATGCCTCGGCGAGATATCGCTCTGCTAAGCGGCATTGTGCCTGACCCCACTCAGCCTCCGGACCTGACCATGGTATCAACAATCAATATGGTCATGACTCAGCTTGACGGCATAGAGGACTCTTCATCTTTGCAAAAGTTCATGGATATACCGAACCGTATAAATAGCACGATGAAGCATACAACGATTGCCAAGAAGGTAGCTGGGCTTCTGCTACCTTCCAATAGAGAGTGAGTATTCAATGTAATGGTGGACGAAGGAGTATAAAGCTAATTACAATGTTTGACAGGGATATTTGGCTCACGCTTACCTATAAGCTTGACAAGCGCATCCTTGAAAAGACATCAGAGATCTATCAAAAGTTGGTCGCGGATATCAGCGACCGTTCGCCTGGCTGCGTGATTCAAATGGCACTGCAACCATTCCCTACAACGTTTGTTCGGCATTCTGCTGCCCGTGGAGGCAATATGATGGGACTGGAACAAGTCACTAGCGATTCGGTACGTAATTCACGAAACACGTGGATCTTGTTCAGAGAACTCATGATGGCAAACTAGGTCCTTCTCATTACTGCTGTCGAAGGCAATACGCCTGGCTTCTACGATACAGCCTTTCCAATTGCCAGTGCAGCGATGCAAGAGCTCGAGAGCTTTACCAAGCAGGTCGATGGGCATGTCGGGTTCCGCTACCTCAATTATTGCGACGGATCCCAAGATCCCCTGGCGAGCGCTGGTGCAGAGAACATTCGCAAGATGAAGGCCGCGGCAGCAAGATACGACCCCAATGGTGTTTTCCAATCTAGAGTGCCCGGTGGCTTCAAGATCAGCAAAGTCCAATAGACTACCAAATCCAAGCCAGTATGCCAAACATTTTTTTGGTCCATAAAGTTGAATATTTACCTCTACCTTTACTAACCTGTGAGGATAACTATGAACACGCAATACTTATTTCAGGTGCATTGTACTACCCCGATTATGATTGATTCCTTACATTTCTATGACACCATGTCCTGAATCTTATGTCATTGGTCAGGCCGGTATGCGTGACAAGTAAACAATATCTGTGTGGGCGCGTCTTGTTTTCCTAAGCTGATATAACCTGCGACCATCACTCTCAAACATCAATCGATTTTCCATCTAACCAGTCCTTTGCCAATCGGTATAACAAGTCGTGTTTTTCGCCAGAAGGAGTGCCCTTGTGTCGATTGTGGCCCGGCATATCCTTGAATACAGAGACCCCCATGGTAAGCTCCTGGCAATATGCCAAATATTTGTATCCTTCCGGATACGTAGCCAGCTTGGACTCGTCCAGCTGTGGCGCCTTGGCGGGATTTGTAGCAATGAGCTTATCCTTTTCATACCAATGCCTGACAAAGCGCGCGCCCCATTTGCCGTCTACTTTTTCAAAAAAGAAGCAAAAGCGGCAGTCGGCCTCGGCGTCAACCTCGCAGCCGTCAATCACAAAACGTTGGGTAATGGTGGCCTTCATCTTGGTCACGGCACGGGTGGCGTCGGGGGTGATGTCGGTGGTGACGCCGTGGCAGCGGTGCATGATGAAGGCGCCCTTGTCCATGCCCGCCTTGGAGGCCGCCATGAAATCGTTCGAGGAAACCCGGCCTGACCATGTCGTATATACGAATGCGTTGGGGTGGAAAATCGATTCAAAGTTTTCCCATTCGCAGGAATCACTATTTGATTACTTCTTGTAAGTCGCCCTATTCGAGAAATGGTCACAACACAAAATCGTCCCAACGTGGACGAGAGAAATGCTTACCGATAACAAGGCCAACCTTCAGCAAGCTCTCTCAGCTTGGCTCTTTCAAGCACCAGGTTATCTGGCCCATTGTTGCGAATGGCAGTGGACGGCCAAGTGCCGGCGGGCAAAGAGTGAAGATCAGTCATGGTGTGAGAATATTATTGCTCTATTTCATCAAAAGTTGTTGTTGTGCATCCCTCAATCTTTCGTCTTTTCAACAAATGTTCACAGTATGGCGTTTCGGGACTATAGCGCCTACCATGTACTAGGCGGGTTTCTACCATGGAGCGACACGCACTCCACTCGGCAGAGTCTTCTGCCGGCACTGGCTCAGCTGCGGGACACTATACTGCCCCGCGATGTTGACGATTTGGGCATGTGGGGGGGACTGTATGATCCAATCTGGCTCTTGACATTGCGGGTGAGATTATACCCATCCAGAGGTCTGCCGGATGATCGTGTCACGGAAAAAATCCTTTGCGACGAAAGCGTCATTTTGAGTCACAGTTTTCTGCAAAATCCGGCGCTGGAGATAACAGTCCTTCTTGGTGGCGGCTCACGTTTGAAGAGGATTCCAGGAGATCAGTAGCATACCACAGCAGCAGAACTGTTCTGTATTTCGCTGCTAATTCTTCGACCCTCTGGCTTTTAGTACTACTGTTGTGCAAAGAACTACGACCCATTCGGCTCGATTACATGAATACTGTTCTTTCATATTGTGTATTGATTCGTAAGGATTTCTCGTGATGTAAGTATAGACTAATTAGAAATTGATTCCAGGGCTGCTGTCCGCAGCCGCCATCAACACATTCCACGCCCCCTGGCGATCCATCTGCTTACAGAGTGCCTCTCCTGCCCACAAGCGCCACTGCTCTTCAATTTGATACCCAATAACATGAGTGCCCTCAACACAAGGCCAATCCAGCTTCTCTGCGAGCTTGATCATCCTCGTCCGTCGGGGTTTGAAGCACATGTCCAAAAGTACGCCCTTTGTGGGCCGCGACAAGAACTCCTGCAACAGCGCAGCAACTGTCTTTTCTGCGTCCGTTTGCGGCTCAAAGTCGGGTACAGTGCCGACAATATAGTACGGGCTGCCAAGTTCTCCCGCTTGCTCCAAAGTCTTGACATGCACGACGGTCGCATCAGTGATCTTCTTTGCATCGGCAATCAGATCGAGCACCTCCTGGTCGTCTCTGTTAAGAATGTAGACAGTGTCGCAGTGCAGTTGGGCAGCCAGGGCGTAGACGGCGGCACGGCTAGCACCACCAGCGCCTACAACGAGACCAATGCCACGGGAGTCTGGGTTTGGCCGCAGATTCTCGTCGCCCTTTTCAAGCAAGCAGCCCTTGACGCCTCGCCAGTCGGTGTTGGTTCCGCAAATCCGTCTACCAGAGTTGGTGTTCTTGTAGTAGACATTGTTGCAGGCTCCGATGCCTGTTGCCAGGTCATCAAGCTCGTCGAGGTGCTTCATGACGGTGTTCTTGTATGGCATGGTCACCACGAGTCCTGCCGTCGCCGGATCTCTGGCCAGCTTCATGACATGTTCAATGGTTTCGCACTCGGTCGAATAGAATGTCCAAGGCAGATCCATGGACTGAGCTATGTGATTGTGCATTGCATAAGCAATCGAGTGCGTCACCCCGATACCGACCAAATGCAGTGACCGTTTTTCGGATGCCGTCATTTTGAAATGGATTATATAGAATTAACTTGTTATTCTCGCGTATTATTTGAGATATTTTGAAATTAATTGGTGAAAGTGCAAATGTTGCAAGTCCTTTTAATCAATGTCGAACAACACAAATGACAGCTAGTGTGATTATAGTGCCCAAATCGCTACCGGCTTTGCTATTTGCCGACCAAAAGTGGCCCGACCTTCGATACTCAAGGGGAAAGAGAAATCGAAAGAATCCCCGCGATTTTGGTGCTTGCCAAGTACAATACGGACTTCGCAGAATAAAAAAAAAAAGAAAAGAAAAAGCTCTGTCCGCAAACGATTGTCTGGCCTTGCCTTGCCTTGCAATCGACATAAAATAGTGTAAACCTACCTGGTCGCCCAATAGCGACACGGAGGAAGGCATCGGAGAAGCGTTCAATTCAAGCAAGGATTGTCAAAAAGACAGTCGAGACCCAATGATGCTACATTTGAAATAGATTTATATACTCGGCGTTTCGTAATTTTCGTCACTTGTCCTGTATCGTAGCACAGTTCATATTCGACTGTCAGTCACGGTGGAGAGCACGGTCAACCGTGAGACGATATTGTATTTGTCATGTGCTTCGGGGGTGGGGCTATTTCACTCTATAGTGGTTGTTGTAGAAGGCTGGGAGTATACCAAATTGCTCTACTCAGAACTATTTCTACTTCGATCTCGAACAATCGCATTGCAGCCGAGATTTCAGCTTCCTGATCAAGCAAGGAGTCCCTGGGCCCGGAACGCTCGGTTGAGTATCTCTCTGACCACTGGCTCTTTTCTTTTGTTGTATTGAGTCACTGTATCCTCGGATTTGCGGCCTGCCTCTGCTGCCGCTCTCTTGGCATTCTCATACAGCAGCCTGTCGTCCTCGTGCTCAATCAGCCATTTCTTGAACAGAAGATGTCGCGCGTGTTCAGCGCTCTTGGGTCCAAAGACGTGAACATTCGCGTACGGTTCTGCGAGACCGAAGAGCCGATGCTCGTGCCAGGCTGGCTCCCGGAGGAGGAACTGAAAGCCTGCATTCTCGAGTGCTTGCACGTAGGCGCCCTCATCGCTAGGATCAGTTACGATCAAGTCGATATCGATGACGTCTTTCGCAGCTATCGGTATGCTCGTGGATCCGACATGCTGGATACTCAGGACGATGTCGCCCAGCGCTGTCTGTATACGCTGCGCGATCAAGGCAAAAGTTGCTGCCCATCGGGGACTGGGTTCGACCACCTCTATCAATTTCTTGGGTCGGATCGACACGATTTGAACATCATTGGGGTCGGCCTCCATGCCTGCCATAATGTCGATATCAGTAGCCATGGCCTGCAATTCTAACAAGTAGTTGTGATTTCTAAGGGATATTTGACGCTATCTGCTCCCTCTTGTCATACTAGATAATATGACGAGATACGTCTGCTGATTTATGGAGATGGATACGGCGTATGACTCATAGTTAAGCAAGGTGGTGCTTTCCTAATGTGGTTACATATTGCGGATATACACCCTGTTTGGATTGCGATCTCGACTGTCTAATCATTAGTTACAACAGCTGCACTGTGTCTCAAAGCAGTCGATTTGTCTTCTCGCCTGAAAATCAGAATGTGTCTTAACCGATGTGGCAAGATGGAATCATATTAATCTTGCACTTGATAGGTAAGAGTATGAAGCTTAATAGAGGTTGCTGTAGAATGAATACTGACAAAATTATCAGTGACTGTGGAGGGCCATAAGTTCGAGTGTAATGGCGTTTTCAGATGCTGCAGAATGGGCTTATAGGCTTAGACTGCCCTGTGGCTCGGCGGCCCAGGCCCCGCCAAAAATAAACCGCAACCACCACCAGTTCTGGTCATCTGCATACCATAGTGGGAAATTGTGGGGCTTAACAAGACTTGTAATCCTTATCCAAGCGCTACAAGCCTTCTGTAGTAGAGATATCTTGTGAGATGGAGATTTCTTGTGAATCTTATAATTCTTGTGACCCCCCTGAAAGCCCATTAGAAGCCAACACTACGAGATATATACCATTTCAAACCGTCTTATTCTCGTTCCTCGTAAATCTATAAATCCGCCGTAGTATAATTGTAAGCCCGTGACTCTCGTGATAATTCTCTAAGTCGTACGTTCATTTCAAATAGTTGTCAAGAAAAAGAAAGAAAAATCACGTTTTTGACTTTTTGCCAGCCCCGACTTGGTGGATGGTTACAGTGGACGTTACAGTGGGCTTACAGTGGGTGTTATAGTGGAGAATCCACAAGAATTGTGTGGCTCACAAGAAATCTCCATTTTACAAGATATCTATGCTATAGAAGGCTTATAGTGGGCACAAGGCTTAAACTCTTAGCAAGTAATAATATACTACAAAAGACTTGTGAGCCACCACAGACCCCCGTAGCGGTACCTAACCTTGAGCAAATTCCTTTTGTGAAATTTTTAATTCATCCCGTTTGTATTGATAAATACCTATCTGGCCTTTATATAATCGAGTCGTTCGCATCTTATGGTAATTCCCTACGCTCTGGCCTAGGTGAGCCACATGCCCCGCATCTGCTGGGCTTGGGGGTTCTCGTTAGTGGGCAACGCCAAGAACAATATGAATTATTCCGATTTTTTCTTGATGCCACAATTTCAAAGATCAGCTCTTGCCTTTTCTCCAGCCCAGGCTCTCCTAATGAGTTCCTCGATAGGAGCCCTCTCAATCTCCCTCGGGTTCCAGTATGCGTTCTTGGTGGCAATCTCGGCAGCCTTGGCAATGTCTTCTTCCTTCATACCAAAGTCCTTTAGACCTCTGCTCTCTCCCAAGCTCTCCAATAAATTGTTGAGACCACGCACTGCATCGCCGTTGCTCCCTGGCAGTACCTCTGCAAGAAGCTTCATTGCCTCTGGGGTTTTGGGGGCGTTGTAAGCCAGCGCGTGGGGCAGCACGATAGTGTGCGTCTCCGCGTGCGGTAGGTTGAACGTGCCGCCCAGGGTATGGCAAAGCTTGTGATGCAGCGACATGCCAACGTTGCCCAAACATGTGCCGCAGAGCCAGGCACCGTAGAGCGCATTCCGTCGGTGCTCTAGAGACTTGGGATCCTTTTTCAGGCCCGGCAGTGCTCCAGCTAGAGACTTGACGCCCTGCTGCGCTAAAAGACTAATGATTGGGTTTCTGTTCTGAGCATATAGCGCCTCCACAGCGTGGGCAATGGCGTTGATACCACTAACCAGGCTCAACCCAATCGGTAGCGTCATGGTCAAGTCGACATCATAAACCACAGTTCCAGGCAGGATCTTGGGATTGGACTTGGTTGTCTTGAGTCCATTTTCCGTCTCCCCCAAGATTGGCGTCACCTCGCTACCGGCGTACGTTGTCGGTATAGTCAGATGATAGAGGCCAGTTCGAAAGCTAATGGCCTTGCCCAGACCAATCGTACTGCCACCCCCAATGGACAAGACACAATCGGCACCAGAAGAATTCACGCTGGCCGCGGCCTTTTCTGTCACTTCGACTGGAGTGTGCATTGTCGCCTCGGTAAACTTGCCCACCACTGTCCCGCCAATGACCTTTTCAAGCTGCTCTACTTGCACCACCTGCTGTGGCGTGCACAGGAGAAATGGTTTGGTCAGGTTCAGTCTGGAGAGCTCATCAGGAACTGCATTGATCGTGCCGCTCCCAAAGATGACTCGGGCCGGATTTGATTGGTAAACAAAAGACTCCATACTGGCCATGGAAATCTACGTCGTGTTTCGTAGTACAAAGTACGCAACAAAATGTATCTTTTGATGTGATGATAATGGAAAATAGCTTCAACCACGATGCATCAACTGGAAAATGTTAACCGGTTCTCGAGTCTCAATGATACTATAGTCTCTATCACGTGATAAAGTGAAAGGTACCAAACACGTCGGCTAAGCTCTAAGCCGGCGGCCTGACTCGAGCTCGGCCAACTTGAGCTTCAACTCCGGCCTTGAAGGTAATCGAATGGGATGATAGCAGCATGTTCATTGCCCTGAATCACGATAAAAAATGAAGGGTCTTATATTCTGGTCCGGGCGGTTTTGGGGTAGTCTAAGACGTTCCTCATCTTTTCAGATTGCGTAATCTTTTTTTGGATTTCATTGCACAAAGGCACATTACTACAAACCGTTCAATATGGCCTCCGAAAATACACGCCCTGACCTGCCCCCACTCAAAGATCTGACCATTGACAACATTACTGAAAATGTTCACAGCATCAACTCGCGATGCGAGGATGCACGGCTCAAATTCCTGCTCGAGACCTTGGTGACGCATCTACACGACTTTGCGCGCGAGACCCGCCTCAGCGTCAAGGAGTGGGAGACGGCCATAGAGTTCCTCGTGCAGGTGGGCAAGATCAGCAGCGACGTGCGCCACGAGTTCATTCTGCTCTCGGACATTCTGGGCCTATCTTTACTGGTAGACTCCATTGACCACCCCAAGCCGCCCAACTCGACCGAGGGCACCGTTCTCGGTCCCTTTCATACCCTCGAGGCGCACGACCTTGCCTCGGGCGATCAGATATCGCATGACCCCGACGGCGAGCCTTTGTTTGTCTTGTGCTCGATCAAGGATACCCAGAGCCGCGCTATAAGTGATGTGTCAGTCGACGTGTGGGAAACCGACTCAAAGGGTTTCTACGATGTGCAATACGCAGAACGGTCTGGGCCCGACGGTCGTGCCGTGTTAAAGAGCAACCAGGATGGCATCTTTTACTTCAAGGCCATTGTACCGGTGCCTTATCCGATTCCAAATGACGGGCCAGTGGGTAAACTCTTGGGACGGCTCAAGAGACATCCTTATAGACCAAGTCATATGCATTTCATGTTCAAGAAACCCGGCTATGACCGCCTGATCACGTAAGTCTCGCACATGAGCCAAACCTTGATCTGAGAAAATTAACATATTTATTAACAGAGCTCTTTACTTGCGCGGTGATCCCTACGAAAACTCGGACGCCGTGTTTGGAGTCAAGGAGTCCCTCATCACCACATTGGGACTCGTGAGCGACGTCAAAGGCTTGGCGGAGGAATATGGATTGTCACCTCAAACCAAATTGTTAAAACATGACTTTGTCCTGATTACTGATCAAGAGTCGGATAGTCTGCGTGAGGATAATGCCTGGAAGGAGGCTAGGCGTAGAGAAGGCCTGACAGTGAGAGATGGATTACTGGTTAGAAAGGACTAAGCTACCTAACCTAGTATATTTTGTAATTACCATGTCTTGCTTCTCTGCAGACAAAAGAAATTTGAACTGTACACTGCATCATCACTCTGTGCCCGCCCGACTTTAATGGAGGAGGTAGTGGTACTTAGCAGTACATGGCTACTGTGGTCACGGTCATCTGGCGGACCAGCCAGCTTCTGTGATCTACAGTACATATATGGGCCTCAGCATCCCGACACTCAAGTCTCAACGCAAGCCATTCAATTGGCTCCTTGTGCAAGAAACTAAAAGATAAGAACGGCCGCCGACTTGCTGACATATCAGATAGATCGGCTCATGAGTCTATCTTGCACGGAGTAACTAGATCCGTCAATGGAGTTGGTCAGATAGTTGTTGGGATAAAGACATAGCCGAGCCAAGAGCCGTCTAAGCCAACGGAGATCTAACAACGGGACTTATAGCCACTCCATGCATGCAAGCATTTACTTAAGTAAGACTATACATCGCAAAGTCTAATAATACCTCCATTCATTCATCGTTGGACAAAATGGGAAGTCTTTCGAAGAAATACAGTCAAGACGATCTCACTCCCGCAAGACGAAATTTTCATATTTTTGGGAATGGGATATCGTTCAGCATCTCTCCGACCATTCACAACACCGGATTCAAACATTATGGCCTGCCACATTTCTACGATATTCAAGAGATTGAAAGCATGGACGATGCTGCCGGTTTTGTGAATGCTCCTGATTTCGGCGGAGCAAGCGTCACCATGCCGCACAAGTTGGAGGCGCACAAATTCTGTCAAGAGCAAACAGAATCTGCTCGTTTGATTGGGGCAATAAACACACTCATTGTTTCCGAGAACAGGGATGGAACGCGCAAGATCATTGGCGACAACACTGATTGGTCTGGTTTACACTCCATCATTACTTCACATTATCACGAGATTGGCAGCGATCCCCCAAGAGCTGGTCTGGTGATCGGTGCGGGTGGCGCTGCACGAGCGGCACTATATGCAATTCATCGCTCTGGAATCGAGCACATTTATCTCGTCAATCGCACACTATCTACGGCCGAGAAGGTCAGAGACGCCTTCAAATCTTCCTTCGAGATCACCGTGGTACCAGCTTTGCAGCAACTGCCTGAGAAACCAGGTGTTATCATTGGTACTGTCCCTGCTGAAACGACAAGCGAAAAGGATTTCCAGAATCTTTTCGCCGATGATGGGGGTCTCTGCATCGAAATGTCCTATAAGCCACCACACACTCCACTGATGGCTGTAGCGGAGCAACATCCCGGCTGGCGCACCTTGAGTGGTGTTGACGTTTTGCTTGCGCAGGCGTTTGATCAATTTCGGTTATGGACAGGACTTGAGCCGCCGACGGTCCAAATGATTGAGGCCGTAAAGCAACGCTCGGAGAAGTGAATTTGCTAGGAGATTCTTCAGAGGCCCTTTCTAGAGATATTCATCGATATTCCTGGACAAGAATTTCACAAGGATGCCATGATGTAAATATGATTATTCCTGGCCAATTGAGCAGCTGAAAGTCGCCTTCTCCTGTTGCTATATAGCATCTGATACAAATCAGTTATATGGCAACAAGCTTGCCACGTCATACGTCAGCTGATCATGTCTCTGAGGCTTGGATCATATAATTTCGTTCATATAGATTAGAATTGCAAGTTGAAGAGGGTTGTATCGCCATGGAAGCCGAGATTCTCAATGAACTCTTGATCGTAACCAGACCTAAAATTCAGCATGTTAGTGATCTGACCTAGATGTTTAGGCTTTGATGTTCATCTCGGTGCCACTTACCATTCGACAGAATCAAGACTAGACAATGTATTAAAGAGCATATCGTGGTCTGTTGAAAGTGACTGGGATGTCCTTGAGACTTCTTCCAGTCCAGTTGCACGTAATAAAGAATCCTTTTCTTGGGTGTCTGCATTGATAATTGAGGTCACTTCTTGAGGCAACGCAGAGGCGACATTTGTTGCTATAGTAGACGCGGTGCTTTGCTCTTCCCTCAAGCATGGCAAACGACTCTCTGCTGCGATGCTTGAAGTGGCATGTGGATCATTCTGAAAGCCATCAAGCACGAGTATCATGTCATCGGGTACAGCTTGGACAGGCCGTGTCGCATGCGGCATAAAGCCAGCCTCCCATGTGGACAACGGCACATCGGGATGCGGATGAGTCCAGACCTTGTGCATCATGTCAATGACACATGTCATGGCATCCCCCCAGCCAGGTAGGTGAGGGCAAAGTATCCGGCGGCTCTTATCCAGAGATTCAAGGTAGATTCGAAAAATTGGTGGCATCCACCCAGTGCTGAAACGGCTGTCCAGATCCGGTAGACTTCTCAAAAACTCAATGATTTGCAGCCAGCCTTGTTCTGGGAAACGAGCTTTGACCGTGGTTGCGTAGTTTTCGGGATCACTCATAACGGATGCCAAAAGCATCAAGTACAGGCTTGCCATTGCCAGAGTAAGATTAATAGAGTGTGGAGCATCCATTATGGGCGCGAAACCATGGTCACCAATGATTCGCATTTGAGGTGGGAGTCCATACTGCCAAGCAATGAGCTCTTCAAGCAAAACCCTCGCCTCTTTACCGCTGCAGGAAGCATTATCTGCATCGGCCCAGAGATTTCGGTTGAGTAGGCGGGTAATGTAAAGCAATTTATTCCACATGCTTAATATGCGAGCTGGTCCATGGCTAGTACGAGTGACAGTGCCGTGCGTACTCTGGCTCCAGGGACGCCAGCTATCCCACTCTTCTAGGCTCTCCGTCCGAAAATCTTCAAATTGGTTGAGATCATCACTTTGTAGATGCGGTCGCCGGCCCAGTCGGGAGGCCACGAGGGTATCAAAGAGAAAACAGCTGAAAAATGCGCGTTTCCCTGGGTCATCGGGTCTTACCTCGGAGATGGATTGCTTTTTCTGCGTAATGTTGATCCCCAGGTCAATGGCCACATAGACAGCCCTCCCTACCCAGAGCCAAGCACTTGTCCAGTCGCTTCGACCCATGTGTGAGAGAGCCATTAGCAGGAAGGTGTGAATATGTCCGAGATCATATTTGGCATAATCCTTTAATGCCAATTGTCGTGAATATGCGTGTATTGGCTGAATCTGGGCAGGCTCAATGTCCTGTGAAGGAGATCCGGCAGGTGTGACAAGAGGGCTTTGGTGTAATGTAAAGGAGAGAACAGACCAAAATGAGGCCTTTTGTCCTTCTAGGAGACAGTCTTGCCCACTGCCAGGCATATGTTGAGAGATGAGAGCGGATGACCGTAAAAGCGAGTGTGGTTCCAATACAGGTAACCAACAGTGTGTGTTTGCCATGTATAGCTCGACCAGACGAGGCCATGTTTCGGGTAGTGACGGCACAGCGCTGGCAATAGGCAGAGCAGATACACTTGGTCTAGACGTTGAGACCGAAGCGCAATCCGTCGTGCGATCGGGTTGCTGGATATTGGGCAAATCATCATGCGCAGTGCCGTCAGGTTCATTCACCAGAGAAGAGGTAGCAGCTGGTGTGATGATTCCATGATCAGATGATATAGTGGAACCCTCTGCCACCAGGTCTGTGTTGCAAGAGGCGTTGTGCAAAGCAGTGAGCTTGGAATCAAACGTAGGAGTCTGCGAGGACTGGTCATCTTCCCTGCTTTCGGCAGCTTCTAGCACCCTTTCAAGCTCTGCGGCTGCCCGACTTCTACGCCAGACTCTAAGCAGAGATTCACAGGCGCGCTGCGGACATTGCTTCTTAGCCAAGCGACGATAACCTAATTGGTCTGCTCGTAGAGCTTGCAATATTATATCCTCTGCCCCGTCGAAAATCTGCAGCAAGAGGCCTAAGAGCACTTCTCGACTATGGATGAACCCGGCTGGCAGACCACGTCTTCTTGACTCTGAGGCGTAGGAACAAGAACGGCCCAGGCTGATACAGGAGCCGCAAGCTGGTCTCTCGCCATTGCATTTTTCCTTCCTCTTCCGACACAATTCGCATGCCTTGGTCACGCGAGTGCGCTTCCTTTTGCGGGGGCTGTTGTGATCTTGGCCCTGATCCTGATCCAGCATGGACGGCTCATCTGCCGCATCGGGGCCGGCCTCCTGGCTGCGGTCCATTGTCGAACGACAAAGCAACTAGAATTGCTTATTAGAGGCAAGCTTGGCTTGTCGTATGGTAAACAGGCTCCTCAACTGCATCAACAGAGTGAGGTCGTTGGCTGATCTTGCTTGCATGTCCTTTCCGTTGACTCTTGACAACCCCTTGGATCGTCTTTGTCGTGATACCCGCGATATGGCAGGGGGGAGTAGGTAAGTCGATGATCGTCTAAAAGACTCGCAGGACCCCTAAGCCTCAGCTCAAACTCTCCCAGGTTCCCCGTGGGGTTGAAAGTCAATGGTGGTAATTGATGGGTACTAGCATCAAACCAGTCTGGGCAGCACTTCGGCTATGCTTTTACCCGGAGAAACGACCCCAAATTTCACCCCACAACACTGCCGAGTGGTGGCTTGGGCTCCGCTGGAACGATCTTGGTTCCATTGGTAGGTCCCTGCAGGGCGGGTTACTCCAGCGCTCTCACTCTTTACGGAAATCGACCTCGGAGAATCGACATTCCTAGATCTTAGCGCACCCTCTCTGCTGGATTGATTGCAAGTCTCAAAGGCGTCTCGAGTCCCCAAGGATTCTGCTTTCAGCATGCTGAGCTCTCTCTGGATGTCTGCTCTACAATGTCTGTGACATCCAGATCAGGTTCACCGTCTTATCCACGTTCGCAGAGCGTTACCGATGGGCCTGGAGTCGGGCCAAACGCTACATGCCATCACGATGGCGCCCCACGGTCTTTCGCTCGAGATGCCTCCATAGCCATTTTAGGCATCCGGGGCACCGGCAAGACGAGCCTTGGCTTTCTTGCCTCGGTCGCCCTTGGATTTCGTCTGATTGATATGGACAAGCATTTTCTGGCGACGACTGGTTTGGCCAGAGCGGCCTTTGCCGCAGCTCATGGCCACGACGAGTATCGGAAGCGAGAAGTCGGCCTGATGCGCTCTCTGCTTCATGAATATCCCACAAATTCCGTCATTGTGTGCGGGCCAGGGTCGGTAGAGGGCACCGGGCAAGAGCTGCTTCGACATTTTGCCAAGTCCCATCCGGTCATCTATGTGATTCGTGATACTGCCGAAGTCACCCGCCACTTACGAACAAATAACTGTGCTGCCATTCAGCACTTGGAACTTCTAGCAGGGCCAATCTATCGATCGCTGTCGAATTTCGAGTTCTACAATCTATCCGAGTTATCACAGCCCCCATCGACGAACCTTGACATGGAAGATGGTCAAGAAGAAGAGTACGTGGGCATCTCACTCCCCTCAACGTTGGTCTTAAAGCACGTAGAGGAGGACTTCCTCAACATGCTCGACAATATCGGATGTGGTACCGATAGACTGCGTCTTCGGGATGCGCGGCACTCGCTCTCTTACCTCTCTCCAGAATTCAAGCCTTATACTTATGCCTTGACTGTACCCATATCTCTGGTTTCTTCAATAGCTCCATCGCTGCGGAGGGAAGGCGTAATAGCTGACGCAGTCGAGCTGGCGATGGAGTTGCCACATTTGTTAAAAGTCAGCAAGCGGCAAGAAGGGGGTATTGACGAACACGCCTTGCTCAACTACGTCACGAAACAATACTACGTGCTTCGGCGAAATATAAGACTGCCCGTGGTACTGAATCTTCTTTCGCCCTCGCAGCAGTCTTCGGGTCATAACTCTTTGGAGGTTTCTCAATTAGAAAGGTCCTACTTTCAGCTTCTGCAGCACCTGCTTCGTCTAGCTCCGGAATACGTGGTGGTAGATCTCCAACACAACCTTGACCGCCACAAGGTGCTGCTCGGGAACAAGGGCTCTACGAGAATTATTGGTCACTTTTATGATGCAAATCCACAGCCAGATGCTTGGAAGTTGGTCGCTCGCATGCACATCGTCGAAACAGCCGAGGGACTCGGCTGCGATCTTGTACGGATTTGCCAACCTGCCCGAGATCCCAACGACAACTTTGCCATGCAAATGTTTGCTGAACAATTCCATCAATCTCCAAACTTTAAGATGAAGCTTATAGCATTCAACACCGAGTCTCTTGGGCGCAGGTCGGTGTTTACCAACTCGGTTCTGACTCCAGTGACACACAAACTCATCCGCGAGAGTTCAGAACCGCCAGCTCCATGGGTTTTGACTGTGCAAGAAGCGCAGAATGCGTTATACTCTTCGTTCATATTGGAAAAGATGCATTTCTTTGTCTTTGGCTCACAGGTTTTCCGTACTGCGTCACCAGAAATGCACAACGCTGCGTTCCGGTTCTGCTCAATACCACACGAGTACTTTGGTATTCAAACGGGCACGTTGCAGGATTTGGGAAAGATGGTCCATGACCCTTGCTTTGGTGGGGCGAGTATAACAATGCCATTCAAAAAGGAAGTCATTTCCATTGTCGACTATCTCAGTCCGGAAGCACAGGCAATTGGTGCCGTCAACACCTTGCTTCCTCTCCGAGACAGAAAGTTGCGATCCGTCTTGAGCCGCAACAAGCGAGGCGCTGTGGTTGCTCTTTTCGGGGACAACACAGATTGGATCGGCATTCATACCTGCATTCGGGGGAATCTGTCACCCATCAACACGGTCAAAAGCCGTACAACTGGCCTCGTCATTGGTGGTGGCGGTATGGCCAGGGCAGCAATCTACGCCATGATCAGATTGGGTATCAAGCATATATTTGTGTACAATCGCACCCTGAGGAATGCAGAAGGGCTCGTAACCCAATTCAGCCAGCAGAAATTCGCCATCCAGAGCCTAAATCTGGCGTACTGCAGTCCTCCATCATCGCGCGAGGGGTCGATCTTAGACGATGGTGATGTCGAATATGTCGGGCCGTCCACCGTACATGTGATCCCCACCATGGAAGACGCCTGGCCGTCTAGTTTTGATCCACCTGCAGTGGTTATAAGCTGCATTCCCGCGTTGGAAAAGAATGGCAAATTGATTGATTCGAGTCTGCCTCCATCTTGGCTCCAGAGCAATACTGGAGGTGTAGCCATTGAGGTGTGTATCCCATGTCCCATTCAAAATCGCAAGTGAAAGAGGTTCTAACGTTGCAAAGCTTGCCTACGACCCGATCGACACGCCATTTCTTCAACAAGTCCGAGCGATAAACAACAGAGGATGGATAGCAGTAAATGGCCTCCAGGTTCTTCCAGAACAGGGCATAGCTCAATTTGAGCTGTATACCGGCGTAAAGGCGCCACAGAATGTCATGAGATCCGTGGCAGCCAAGCGTGCCAGCAAGTCTAGGATGGGAATCTACCCGTCTATAAGCGCGCACTCGAATCAAATTCCATGATTCCATGACGTTTAAAAGATGGCGAACAGCGTCAAAATTGGTATGGTTGATGACCCCTTTACGAACTACAAAGAAAATTCTCTCGTGGTAAAAACTGGCGGTTTGTAAAAGCGTGCTGGATTCTAGGCTCCAATGTCGGATCGTAGACCTTGCGCAATGTATATACATAGTCAGGATAAGACGCATATATGGAAATAATAATGTAACACCCGCCTCGGCCATGTCCAAATTCCAGTGAAAGAATTACCACAGCATGGAGCCACCTATAATCGGGGCGCTGTGACCGCCAACCCGTCTGCAAGTGGAGCCAGTTTGGTTGGTTGGGCGCTCTACTATAGCGCCGATCAATCGGGAAGTCCATCACCCAGCCATAGGCAAAGAGCTCTGCCGGTGACCCAATTTGTGAAATGGTGTTGCCCCGCGCCTCCAAGAGCCAAGACTTAGGTAAGCTGTATTCTTTCCAACCTAGGTATACATTACTATTCGTTTTGGTTCTGCTTTAAATTGGTCAGTGTTGACCGGCATCTCTGGTGATACCGTCACACTCCTCGGTCAAATTACATGCGACAGATTCCTCCCAATTCCAACCCAAAACAATGTCATACCAACCAGCAATCATGAGTGCCTCGCTTGGGCGGGCATGGATACACGATTTCCATTACAAAATGGAACAGGCTGCAAAAGCAGGGTTCAAAGGAATGGAGATATTTTACGAAGATTTGGAATACCTGGCTCGTAAAAAGACCGGCAGCGATGATTACTCCAATGAGCACATCCTTGAAGCTGCTCGTGAAGCCTATGCAGTTTGTAAAAAGCACAACCTCGAGATCATAGGATTACAACCATTCTTGTTCTATGAGGGTCTCAAGGATAGGGAACAGCACGCCAAGCTCATTGAAAAGATGAAGTTGTGGCTACTCCTTGCCGACGAACTACATACCGACACTATACAGATCCCGGGCAACTTTCTGCCCGCGGAACAGCTCACCGACGACCTGGACGTGCACGCGGCAGATCTCAGGCAGCTAGCTGATATGGGCGCCGCGCACAATCCTCTCGTGCGCTACGCCTACGAGAATCTCTGCTGGAGCACCTTTAACGACACGTGGGAGAAGGCCTGGGACATGGTGCAGCGCGTGGACCGTCCCAACTTTGGCCTCTGCCTCGACACCTTTAACATTGCCGGTCGCGTCTGGGCTGACCCGGCCTCGCCAACGGGCAAGACACCCAATGCGGATGCGGACCTGAGCGCCTCGCTCGAGCGAATGGTCCGCGAGATAGACCTTTCCAAGGTGTTTTACATACAGGTTGTCGATGCTGAGCGCCTGAGTGCCCCGCTGGTAGCGGGCCATCCGTACCACGTCGAGGGCAATCCGGCCCGAATGATGTGGTCACGAAACGCGAGAACATTCATGTATGAGGAGGATCGCGGCGCATACTTGCCGGTTGAAGAGGTTGCCAAGACCATCATTCACAAACTGGGCTACAAGGGGTTCGTATCCATGGAGTTGTTTTCCAGGACCATGGCCGAAGAGGGTCAACATGTTCCTGACGAGCATGCGCGGCGTGGTATGGCGGCTTGGGGGAAGCTTTGCAAGAGACTAGAGCTTCATCAATAAAGTACCTAAGTTACCTACTTTACCAATTGGATGAGAATATCTTAAAAATCCATCTGGCGCTGAATTTTACAAAAAAGCAATTCGAAGGCTAGGGAGGAAATTACTTTTTCCTCTCTTCTCCATGATTTCAAATGGCAACATGACCGAGCAGTCATGGTTATGTGTTCACCAAGGCACCCATTTATGTCATTTTCAAATAATCACTTAAAATGGTCTTCAATCGCAGATCTACTAAAGTCTTACACAGAAAGCATTATATTCAAGATCAATTCCAGACAAATCTATGATATAAAACCTAGTTTCCCTGCCATCTCTTATCTTGAGCCAGTATAGGCTGTCGCACGGGCCCATTAACTTATACTCTCGGCCATGAAGCTGAGGTTTCCCCGCAATTTAGTTCATGAGCTGGGCATTGATGCCTGGAATGATGAGCGAATGGGACCAGGAGAATTCCAAAGACGCTTTTCATGTTCAACCTTAAAATGGCCAAGTGAGAAGAGGTATGCCTCTTGTCAATATCTCTCCTCCTATATTCTGCCAACCCTTTCCCTCCCAAACTCATATCCAAGCTTCACATTACCACCGAGCTTCAAAATGGCCGCTAGCGAGGAGGGAACAACGGTAATTGAGGCTTCCTGCTACTGCAAATCACTTCACTACAGACTCACACTCAAGACCTCGGAACTCCCGCTTGGTGTTCACATTTGTCATTGTAGCATTTGTCGCTGGACTCACGGAACTCTTGCCACCTTTCACGCACAGCTACCTAATGGTGTTAGCCCAGAGTTCGTTGCCCCTTCTGGCCTCGACAAGCTCACACCATACCGATTTGCAGCATCTCAAAATATTCGATACTTTTGCTCGACATGTGGCTGCCACATGGGTGACGCCTCGTCACTGGATGGCAATTGGGTCGTTTCCACGTCCCTGTTTGCTCAAAATGAAGGCGTATTCCAATTCAGATCTCACGTCTTGACCGAGTCAGCCTTGGGCGGTGGCCTGAATGAGTGGCTTCCCAAGATTGGCGACCGGGAGCTAAAGATCTGGAATCCCGACAACGGTTCTGCGGCGCCCAAGCACTCCGAGGCGGAACATGGTCCTAATGGAGAAGATAGACTTAGGGCGCAGTGCCACTGCGGAGGAGTTTCATTCACGATTCCTCGGCCTACGGACGAGGTAGTTAGTGACGCATTCATGGCCGGTTTTGTCTCTCCGGTGGACAAGAGCAAGTGGGTGGGCACCGTTGACGCGTGCGACGACTGCCGTCTAGTCAGTGGCGCTCACGTCATTTCGTGGACATTTGTTCCCCTGGACTTTTGTGAGCCAAAGATTGGACCTGACCTGATTCTCGGCACCATGAAGACCTTTGTGTCCTCGCCGGGAGTGCTCAGGTCTTTTTGCGGTGTCTGCGGCGCCACCGTCTTTTACTCGTGCGACGAACGACGTCCGACCGTGCGGCAGAATATTGTGGATGTCGCAGTGGGTATACTCAGGGCACCTGAAGGTACAAGGGCTGAAGAATGGTTGACATGGCAGGCAGGACAGATTGGCGCCGTCAACAGTGGTTTACGGTACGATGAGGACTTTGCCAAGTCACTCGCTCAGGGCTTCAAGGACTGGAGCATGGCAAAATACGGTCATGCTTTGACCGGTGAGTTGTGAGAGGGGTCAGCTTGAAGCAGAGTCTTATTTGAATTCAACACGACACAGAGAAATCCCGAACTTTGTACAATTTCCAGTGAGCCCTCCATATGTTCGGTTATGTTCGTTTATTGAAGAGTTTCCCTCCTGACACCGTACAACTTGGGTGAAGTGATGTGATGCAGTGCACCTGTTTCGTAAGCAAGCTTTGCCGTCAAATTCATTGCTTGAAAACTACCTTGGGCAGTTATGGCTTAAATGAGGCCATACTCCAATTGGCGATTGTCTAATGCCTGATCATAATATGATTCGTGCGGCTGTTCCATGATTGGTTGAGGATCTTTACATGGCCAATGACCTGACAAGCGCTGCAAGCATTGTTTCTTCTGGGAAGCTTGCGATGACTTTGGAGGCTTCGATCCGAGATTAACTGGAAATTTGACTTTTTCGGATTGTAATTGTAAATGAAGTCTCGTGATAATATGAGGAATGATCTTGGATATATATGAATATACATAATGAAGCTGCTCAGAAGCTCTCCATGCTCATGCCGACATTTTTCGAAGGTGCGAGCTGCAACAATGCCTGCCCAATCGCAATGTCCATGACACCGACACCAACGCTCTTGTACATGACGAATCCTGATTCGAGCCACTCCTTTTGAGCAGGTTCCAGTTTGCCCTCGAAGATATTTCCAACCTCGAGCATCTTCTTGGGGTCTATGCCTGCACTAACCAGCTCTCCAGCCTCCTGCAAGCATCCATCGCGAGTGTCGACAGTAATATACCCTTCCCAGACCTGGTTCGCAAATGAGCCCGAAATATCAACAATGTCCTTGAGAAGTTCTGGGTCAATCTCAGCCATGTCTAGGCGGTACGATCCAATGGCAGAAATAAACCGCGTCTTTTTTCTTGCAATCTCGGACGAGAGAAAGATGGTAGGAAAGAGAGGTTTCGTGGACGGTGTAGTGCAGAAGAGTGCATCTGCCTCTTGTACGAGGCTTTCCAAATCGTCAGTCCCGTCCTGAAAAGCTTTCAGGCTTATGTGTGAAGGCCAAGGGGCTTGAGCTTCGCCACGGAGATCGTCAAACAGTGCCTCTGTTCTTTTTTGTGATCGATTGACGACAGTGATGTTCTTGATCTTGTCGCCCTGCAGGAGAATGGCCAAGCGAATGTGCCACAGTGCCTGCTTTCCCGCTCCAAAGACGACAAGGTTTTGTACATTTTTCCGCAGCCGAAAGAGAAGCATGGAACCCAGTGCAGTCCGGAAGGCGGTGAGCTCGGCGGCGTTGAGCACGCCAATGGCTTGGCCCTCGGCGTCGCAGAGGGTGAGAGCACTCCGTAGCGCAGGTGGAGGAGCTACGTTGGGGTCGGCGCTGGTCAATTTTGATGCCGGAGCGATGCCGACAATCTTGACGCCAATGGACTGCTCAGTCGTGGCCAGCATGAACAAACTGACTTGGCCATCGGGCCGGGAAACTACCGCACGATGAGGTTGATACTGCTGCTCGCCCTGGCTGGAATACCTGACCAGTGCATTCTCAAGTGCCTCGACGAGAGTAGAGGTGTCACTCTGAGTGAGATTCCTCAGTATATGCTTGACATCGTTATCGGAGAGAACCGTAAAAGTCATCGTGTCGGCTGTGATGAGAAAACTCTCCTGGTGATATATTATTTGCAGGCTTTCTTCAGGTCAGATAGTTTAGTATTTATTTCAAGTTTCTACATATCTCAGAGGTGTTTATTGAAATGTTCTTTATGGAAACTTTACGCGGAGAACGACGGACATGTGGGGCCACGCCGGTGCAACGCCGAGCTCGGAACACACGACCAATGAGCCGAGCACCATATCTCGCGGGTACTTCTACCCGGATATCGGACCTCTTCTCAAAGGTGTCTTGCAGCGATTTGAAAATTGTGATTCCATCCTCAGCTATCACGTCGACTTTCTCAGCCCTACGTGAGCTCGACTACATATCAGGAGCTCGAAGCACCATAGGACCAACGAACAGATCGGCAGTCTAGTATTATAGGTACACCGTCTGGCGCCGATGAAATGCACAGCAGCCCTAGCAGTCTACGGCCAATCAATAGCGTCGCATTAATCGGTATTATCTCTCAGAAGACTGCGAATTGATTGTTATTGCTATAATTTACTCAAAATCAAAGAAAGGAAGAACGAGTAAGAGAGAGATGTCTATTCTCAAATACCGCCAAAACGTACATTCTTCTCGACCTCTTACCCTTTCATATGCAGCCTTTCCAAGCTGAATATGCAGTCTGCACAGGGGATTGTAATACTCGGCAATGGCCAGAAATACAAGTTCTTTCGTGGCGGCTGCATTGTATGTATAAAGTAGCTGGTGTCCTTTCATGTAATACAGCCAGTGATTTTACGGGACTTTGGCTTACAGAGAGATATGATTGGCATGTCCGTTACCTGATGGACAATGAGATTGGTGTCAAGGCCAGCCATTGCAGTAGGATTCCTGATCGCAGCTCGGGGTTGACTTGACGTTGTTGTTGAGGATGCCGGTGCCAAAGTTATCGCACATGTAAAGTCAGGGCCAAGATCGTCGCGATGTTAAGCCTTCCTTTAGCAGTTTTCATGCCAGGCATCATCCACGAGCCAAAATTACGCTATAGGCATTTCACGGACGGCATTTCGTGATCGACAGATGACTGTTGGTAAGAAACCGAGAAGCGAACAGTCAATGAGCTATTTCCATGCGGACTTCGAAAAACGTATTAGCCTCGGCAGTATATCTTATGTATTTACCTCAATACGTACCTTGATGTTATGGATGTCAGGCATCGATGGGGCGCTGGAGCGAGCACTATAAGTCCGGAACAGGAAGACGCCACAGTTCCGGTCGCCTGGGCCGGCGGGTATTTGGTACAGTGATGTTCGGACCAGGAATGTGCCCCAGAGGTACTCATTCTTGTTGCAAAGGCATCAGCAGGTCGGGGCAAATTTGCGAGATGATTGTTATTTGAGTTCATCTTGCCGACACCCGCAACGATTATGGAATGATTTACATGATGCTGCATCTCGTCTACACGGCGATTTTATATTTGGTACGGTGACATGTCGGATGAGTAGCTCATTTGTTACAGATTTTAGCTTCTGAATACTCGCCCAGTTCCGCAAACATACCCTTGTGCATTATCCCACCAACAAAGGTGGCAACGGTTTCCTGATACAAGAGTATTGATTGGGCGCTCCAACAGCCTCTCTACAGAAATGGCGACAATTGATTTGACGGCATGTGAACAACTGTTCCAGCGACCTCTATGGTCATATTTCGATATCCGCGGGATTATTTCTAACAAGTCTTGAATTGAAAGCTTACGGCATGGTGGGGAAGCCCACCTAGTAGCCTGCGACAATTGGGTTATCAAGTCTCTCTTGAAACGTCGGATTGCGAGTGGTATAACAAACCACACAATCCATAGGAATCAATCAGATGAAGTCAATCACATCAAGTCGAAATCCCCCACAGCTAGTCTTTCGGAGTGTGGTGGCATTATACTAGTCGTAGCCCCAAAAGAACGTCAGGGGTACATGGTTGTTCATGTTGACCAAGACTGAAAGACGATTTCCACACATACTTGGGAATCACGTCTAAGAACCTACGTTTCACTTTGATACGCTCAAAGAAGCATACCTGCCAATCTCTTCCGCATTTTGCAAGTCCCAAGAACCCAAGGACCGTTTTGAGTACCAGAATGGAGAGCTCATGATCGTACTCACCAGTCCGCGTGGGGGTCAACCCTGGCAGACGAGCTAGTCACCAAGACACAGGCTTTGAACGATGCGCCCTTGGTACATCAGGAACCAGCTTGCCATACAAGCCTCATCATGTTCATGAGATGCTCATCAGATTCCGGTCTGTTGAATGCTAATGTCAGATGTTCTTTTGTTTCCCCTGAATGTTCACGCGTAATCCGGAGCGGAGACATAAGAAAACCCTGTAGATCTCCTGACCATAGGCAGGTACCGGCCGACATTCTCAGCCCTACGTAATGCGACCAGGGCACCAGGGTCTTTGGAGGCGAGTTATTAGATAAGCTGTGGACCGTGCTAATGACTTACAGTGCTTCTCTCAACAAGTTCCAATGTCTTGTGCCTTGCAAATACAAATGCTTCGATGCAACCATCAACGTTGTGGTTCCCTGAGCGCGATTAGTAATATAAACGCGCCCTTTGGGATCCCCGGAGATGACAGTCCTCGTTGCATCCATCACTTGTTGGCGGTAGCGGTCGTCTTAGCGGTGTTGACAGAAACTAACGTAGACACACCAGACACGCCCAGACGTTCTCGACTGCAATTGGCCGTGACAGCACTTCGGTCCTTTTCCATGGTTGACCCAGTCTTGTCGCCGCACCTGGTCCGTAATCAAGTTGCATTGACTTGCGAGCTCGGCGAACCATTGACACAGTTGCTGGGCAGCCTGGCAAAGTCGGATGGGTAGCAGACCTTAGTTGACTCATTATGGTCGTTGCCCGATGGAAGTCCGACAAGCCAACAACGATTGTGGCAGCTCCATGGTCATTGGATGCTCAACACAATCATGGGCACGCACTGTCTGGAGAGAGGAGACAGAAAACAGTAGGTATTGTAGTAGAGGAGGTTCTGAGTCTTCCTTCACTTGCCGTGTTTGTCCCTTTTTTTATTCTTGGAAGGAAAGCAAAGGGCCGAAGCGGTATCTTGTGTGGTGCAAGACGTGTAGCATATCGGACTTGGCAAAGGTCCGGGTGTAGGTAGGTAGGCGAGTGCGGAAGATAAGCTTTGGTTGTCCGGGATTTGAGGCCGTCACGAAACGTTCCGGACAACGTAAGACATCACAACGACGAAGAGAAAAAGCTGAGCCAGAAAAACAATGTGATGTCTGCCCATTGATATACCCGAGCATACGGCACTGGGTCTTATTTAGATACGGAACATCTACCCGAGCTATTCTCGGGTCGAATCGTTTTACTTTTCGTCCTGGAAGAACCGAGATTCCGCAAGGGCGCCCGACTGGTTTTCGTGGATCTGGGGTAACGAGGATGCGCTCGGTAGGACGCGGTACTTTACGGATACCTGGGACTATATGCATTGTTTAATTGTTTAGAAGCTGTCTAAAGGCTGTCTGAGGCCATCTCGAAGCTTCATGGTTGCTCCAGGGACTGTCTGGCCCGGGGATTATCTGTCATAATATCGTTTCATGGATGAGTGATTTAATCAAAGCATTGAGTTATCGGCCTCCGAAATAGGTGTAAAATTTGTACTTGGCTCAAGACGACCAAACAGACTGGGCGCGCACTGTCCTGGGAGCTCAATGTTAGCAGGATCGGCGAGTCTACCTCGACTGCGGGGTCCTGCCTGGGGAACGACACCATTAAGGCTTTCAGTCAGCAAAACTCCATGCAGCAGAATTGGCTGCGTAGCTGTGGATGGTCCTGGCCATGTTCTCAAGATATACATTGATAGCAACTGAGAGAATCCAATGATCCATACTCATATTAAAAAAAAAAAAAGAAAGAAATCCCTCCCGGCACTTGCCACGGTACCCCAAAGCAAATTCACCTTCTCAGACCACTGGCACGGAAGCTGGCCCTTCAAGCTTTGGAGGGGCAGCTGCCAAAGTACCTCTGAAGTAGCTCCCATCTAACCCAGCCCGTGCCGTCAGTCCAGCGCGGTTCTCCCCAAGAAACCCGCACTGGCCATTGAGTTCCTTGCCCCTCCTTCCGCATTGCTGTTGCCCAACCTTTTGTGTTGCTAGGATGTCACCACCCCACCATCCCACCGTCATTCCCTCTCCCAGCTCAAGCTATTAAATCTAGTGAGCACCCAGCTTTCCGCGCCCATTTTCTGAAAAGAGGCTTCACTTCTCATCTCTTCTTTTTCCCCTCCATTCCAGAATAAAGACCTCTATTGAGCCTACTTGACTGTAGTCTCTCTTAGTTTCCCAACCTTAAAAGACATACACTTAACAAACCCCTCCAACACCGCCATCATGGTCAAGGTCGGCATCAACGGTTTCGGCCGCATTGGTCGTATCGTCTTCCGCAATGCCGTCGAGCACCCGGAGATCGAGATCGTCGCCGTCAACGACCCCTTCATTGAGCCCAAGTACGCCGAGTACATGCTCAAGTACGACTCCACCCACGGTCAGTTCAAGGGTGACATCAAGGTCCAGGGCTCTGACCTCGTCATCAACGGCAAGACCGTCAAGTTCTACACCGAGCGTGACCCCGCCGCCATCCCCTGGAAGGACACTGGTGCCGAGTACATTGTCGAGTCCACTGGTGTCTTCACCACCACCGACAAGGCCTCTGCTCACTTGAAGGGTGGTGCCAAGAAGGTCATCATCTCTGCTCCCTCTGCTGATGCCCCCATGTACGTGATGGGTGTCAACGAGAAGACCTACGACGGCAAGGCCGATGTCATCTCCAACGCCTCTTGCACCACCAACTGCTTGGCTCCCCTCGCCAAGGTCATCCACGACAAGTTCACCATCATTGAGGGTCTCATGACCACTGTCCACTCCTACACTGCCACCCAGAAGACCGTCGACGGTCCCTCGGCCAAGGACTGGCGTGGTGGCCGTACTGCTGCTCAGAACATCATTCCCAGCAGCACTGGTGCCGCCAAGGCTGTCGGCAAGGTCATTCCCGACCTCAACGGCAAGCTTACCGGCATGTCCATGCGTGTCCCTACCGCCAACGTCTCCGTTGTTGACCTGACTGCCCGTATTGAGAAGGGTGCCAGCTACGACGAGATCAAGGAGGCCATCAAGGAGGCCGCCAACGGTCCCCTCAAGGGTAAGTCACCATATATCAACTCCATCACTTGTGTACATGACACTGACATGACATTTCTACAGGCGTTCTGGCTTACACTGAGGACGAGGTTGTCTCCACTGACATGATTGGCAACACTCACTCCTCCATCTTCGATGCCAAGGCTGGTATCTCCCTCAACAACAACTTTGTCAAGCTCGTCTCCTGGTACGACAACGAGTGGGGTTACTCCCGCCGTGTCCTGGACCTCCTGGCCTACGTTGCCAAGGTTGACGCTGGCAAATGAATTCAGGAGTCTAAGCTATAGGGCGTATAGCCAATACAAAATAGTTAAGACTTCATTTGGGCCACAAGTTTTGGTTTAGCGGAAAAAGAGGGAGTCATTATCGCAACACGGCTCTCAGAACGATTACAAATGAATGAAGGGACGCACAAGACTGTGATGGTATGAATCAATGACATAGATCCTACGCCGAAACCAATTGATAGTAAAAGCAAAAGAAAAAAACATTCTATCGGTTCCATTTAGTAAAGCCTCTTGTCATGACCGCTTTTTGGAGCCTCCTGAAAACGCCGTGATCACCAATATTACATCCCTAGAGCATATCTAAAACGTCGCTGGCTATATCATACCCTTAGGTGGTGGTGTCCATTGCCTCACCATGTCCGTTTGTAACCGTAAAGTCCACCACTCCGTCGTTGCCAATCAGCCTCTTCTCCGAGGCCGTGACGAAACTGACGCTTCTGTTAGGGTCGTAAAACAGTGAGAAACTGCGTTGCACATCGGCCACGTCGACCTTTGCTGCCTTTCGCTTCTTTGCCACGAGCTGCGAGGTGGTAATCAGGTTGCTAGCATACCGCAAGCCAGCTTCCTGGCCAATCTTGGTCAACAGTGCCAGAGCATCGGGCGTGGCCTCAACCTCCTCTTCTTGTGCACGGATGGACAGGATCTTGCTGATGTCTTCAGAGCCATAGGCCATGGTCTGAATAATGACAACTCGGTCGAGGAAGTCGAGGGGCAGGCCGTGCGGGCTGCGGTAATCGGTGCCGCGGATCTTGGTGTTGCCTCTGTTGCTGGCCATGATGACAATGGGAGCCAGGTCAACCTCGAGTGCACGGTTGACGTAGCTAAAGCACTCAATATCGAGCATGTGTACCTCATCAATAAAGAGGACTCCGGGAACAATCTCTGCCTTACCCTCCTCCTTCCACTCGGCGACCTTGGTGTCGATCTGGTCTCGAATCTCGCTGCGGATCTCGCCAGTGTCGCCGCTGAAGAGGGCAAGGAAGCCTTGTGTCCGGGAGTTGATGACATCGATCTCGTGTAGCGTGACTGTGTGCACCACCTCCTTACGCTTCTGCAGCTCGCCATCCGGGCACTGCAGGAATTTGGTGTCGGCGCCCATGGCGTCATAGTCTCTGCTGCGGGCGTAGCTGCGGCCAAGCTTGGTGATCTTGCCGCTGCTCTTGTCGATGCTGATAATGTCACCGGCCATGACGCGCTCCTTGGTCATGGCGTCAATCATCTTGGCGCCCATGTCGTACACGGCCTCCATGTCAGTGGTCTTGATGGTAAGCTTGCCTTGCTTGGCACCGCCCGTGACGCTGCGGTCGATCTGGATCTCGACAACCTCGCCCTCCATGATTTCCGACTCCTCCTTGATTCGCACGCCGATCGACTTGCGAAATGCCTGTGTCAGGGCCTCGGTCTTGGACATTTCGAGGGAGAAGATCTCGGACGATGCGAGCGAAGTAAAGGGAACGTCGGGTCCAAGCGATTGGGCCATGCCCATGGCAATGGCGGTCTTTCCTGTGCTATGTGGTTGGATGGCATGTCAGTTTGGTTTCTCGCTTCCATGGTCGTTGCATAACAGGTTGAATTGCCCAATGATGACTGGGGTAGTGTACCTAGGCGGCCCGGCAATCAATACTGCTCTGCCTGCAATCTTTCCGACCTTGATCATCTCAAGAATTACGGCAGCTGCCTTTCGAGCCTTTTCTTGACCGACAAGACCTTGCGAGTTCGAGCGAGGTTCTAACGTGTCGGCATCGACGCCCAAACCGCGGATGTGGGAGTGCGCCGCGATGAGGTTGAGACCGCGCAGGTCTTTTGTCTCGGAGACGGTCATGACGGGCTATATTATGACAGCTTGTGATTAGAACGTGTTGAAAATTCAAATCTTGAATGATGCTAAAGACTTACAGCTGCCATCTTGACTGATTCTGTTTGTGATGGAGCAAGACGATGGGTGGGCAAAATATGATGGAGAGCTGGTTCCCGACAGCCGAGGGCGATGAGAGCTTCAATCAAATCAATGCGACTGGGAAATTTCGCTGGCGCAGCTCTCTGTCGCGCCAGACACTTCAGCCTCGCGCGTGGATAATTGAGCTCACGGTACCTAGGTACCGCGTTTGTGGCGTCTAGCGCTGGGATCCAGATGTGGCTGATGCGGGGTTGTCGTAGCGGTCTTGGCGGTTATATTGTAGCGTAGCGGTGTGTCTAAGACCACTGGAGGCTCTTTTTCTGTTTTTGTCCATGCAATATGTCGACAACGGTCATGTCTCACTTTTCACTTTCTTCGTCACGGTCTGTTTTCTTTTCTCCCTATATATGTACTCGAGACGTTAGGTCCACTGCATTTAATATATCCGATGGCCTCATACTTGCATTCATCGCTGGGCAAAACGAACGTCGCTGTAAACATTGCCATCCATGGCCCTTTTTTCGCTTCGAATGAAAATGGTATCACATTGAACGGTCCCTCCTAGGTAGTATCCACTTTGATAGAGTGTACTGTACTCTGAACGAGTCATTGAAAAGCACATTCGAAAAGTCATAAAATTTGATAGGAAAACATGCTATCATTGCTCTGTTATGTATACTGTGCAAATGCCCATGTGTGATTCATCATGCTCCATGCAACTTAATGATGGAGGGGGTGGGGTTGGGCATGCTTTTTCTGTGTCTTTCTGCATTTCCTAATGGATCCATTGAAGACGGCATTGCTTTTGTTCCCCGGCCACCTTATCAAAGATAGTCTCTCCCCCGATGCACGAGAGGCAAGCGATATCTCGCATCCTCGCACTTGTCCCTACCCACGTATCTCGTAGATATGCAAAAGGATGCTCAGCTCATTCTAGGCAAACAAACTAGGGTCGCTGCCGTCTACAGTAGCCATGCTTCGAGCTGAATTGCGGCTGGATAAACGACCCGTGATGCTTTTGCGATGATCCTCTCATCATTTGAGTTCATCTGCAGCCTCTAGCCCGTTACCATATTGGGACTCATTAATGGCGCTCGTTGCTCAAAGTCGATGTTAGTTTTGTAACCAAACTGTTATGGTCTTTTTCTCGAGTTTTTACCCAGCTGCTTTGGGTCTCATAGCTCATTTTTGGAGCTGATTCTCTGTGTCATTCAACGTCCCAGTTTGCAAGCAAAAGAATATGAATAGTGCAGTTCACGTTTGCTGAGCAGGGAATTATAATTACCACATTGTCTCGGCTTTTGGAGTCCAGTAAACAGTTGAGAAGTGGATACCGCAACTCGTGGCAGGCATTACCCCGGCTCGCACCTGCCCTTCTCAGGCGCAGAGCACAACCACTTTACTTACAAACACAGGGTCTTCAAACGAACTTCTACTCGCCCGTCCAATTTTTCCGTTTGATTCTTACCATCTCTTTTCAAACGACGCGTGATGGTTCTGTTGAGTCTCAAGTCGGCGTATCAAAAATCGGGAACCTCTGGTCAAGTCAAACGCGCAGGACACCAGTCCATGTGCTAACGCGGTTTTCAACCCAGCACAGATCCAGCTTCGGCGGCTAACCGCTGAGGGGTCGCGCTATCACAAAGTCTTAGCGGGTACATTTGCAGTCGCGATTGCAGGTGGTATCATTCAACGCCACGGCAGGCACACGCCACTATCGTATACTCCTGTTGCGGTCCGTAGTCAAGGTCTGCAGGTTGCGGGTTGACGGTTTGTAGCCGTTGGAGGGGAGATATTGGCGTCTTTCGACCGTGTTTGCGGCCAAGTTCCATTGGGCGGCACCTCGCGGCCTGCTGCGATTTTTCGAAATTGAGTACGCGGCATTGGTTCCCGTCGAGATTCTCTGCGCCGTCCAATAACTTGTAATCAACAAACGAGTAATAGACTTTGCGCAAAGCATGATTGGACAGCAGCATGTCACATCGACAGATCGGTTTCGACGACGAGCGTCGTCGCTCTGTTCCCTACTCAGCAGGAGACAACTTAAGAGCTGATACATATCGACCAAATGAACCCAAAGACCGCGGTAGGGAAAGCGATCGGGATCGATATAAGGACGGAAACCGCGACTACGCGCGTGACCGCGATCGGCGTGATGACAGACGTGTCGACCGCCAACCTGAGCAGAGCCCGCGTCGCACCCTTTCCACAGATCAAGGCAAGAACGACGACTCTCGGCCAAGAAGCCTGCCCCTGTCAAAAATTGATACGTCGGGTTTGAACGCAACCAAGGGACCTCGTACCCCTCGAACTCCGTCGTCTTTGTCCGGCAATGCGTCACCAGCTGTCTCTCGTGGTAGTCAAGCACCTACAGCGAGTTCATCGACCCACACAACAGGTAAGCCCCCTGCATTATCGTCCTGCAGTGTTTGTATATAGCTAGCAGAAGTTCTTTATTGACCTCGACATCTCCAGACACCTCTAAGCCAGCTGCGTCCCGTCCTTCTAGTCCAAGCAACAGCACCATGCCGGCCCCAAAAGCAATATGCCCGGAACAACAGCCAGCCATAGATGCCATGCACAAGGTTGTCGATAGCTTGTTCTGGAGATACAAGTATCAACTCGAGTATCACAACAAGGGCAAGGAGATTGAAGCACGAGACCAGGAATTGAAGAAACTCAAGGCCGAATTCCCGTATCAACCACTAAAGTTTCAACAAGGAGTAAAAGAGCGCATAGTTGCGGAACGGGGCGATGTTCACGCAAAGTTCAAGCAGGTGGATTCCAAAATGTCGTCATATTTGAGGACAACAATCGCTGAGATTGCCGGGCTCGTCAATCGTCAGCCAACATCCACCATCACTGAGCCTGAGAGGCAAGTGCCCCAATTTTCAGATCCTGCTCCTTTGATTGCTTCCATGGAGGAAAGATTCTCCGCTTTAGAGAAACGTTGCGCAGAGTCTCAGACCGCGGCCAATGAAGTGATTGCGGCACTCCAGAGAGAACGAGCGGATACCGACCAAAAGATCAAGCACTTGACGGATGGCCAAGCCACTGCCGAAAAGGAGATGGAGGAGTTGAAAAACGGTCGAGCCGCGGCTGAACAAGAGGTCAAGGATCTAAAGGCTCTTCTTACAACGATTTCCAAGAAGGATCCAATAGACAATGATGCCAGGAAAGAGACCAAGGATGTCAAGAGACTTCTCGACGAGTCCATCGAAACCCTTCGCAAGTCTATTGAAGCTATCCAGCAGGAGATGACACAGAACTTCAAGTCGGCAAAAGAGCAAAGGGCAAATTTTGAAAAAGAGCTGCGAGATGGCATTGCCAGTTTGCAAGATCGAGCTTCTTCACTAGAGAGCCTCACCGATGAAATTACTCACGTCAAGGGCCTAGAGACCAAGCTCAACCAAAGCGTGGCGATCCTTGAAACCCGCCTGGATATCCAAGGCCAGGCTCTTAGCAAGTGTGAAGATTCGTCTCGAACCATCAACAACCTGACTTCGGAGGTTTCGAAACTTGGTACCATGATGGGGGGTCTGCAAGAGACCTTCAATGATATGGATCACGAACGAATTGATGAGATTCTCGATGATTGGACCACCCACAATCTCAAGCAGATGATCTTGGATTCCATGAGTTCTGTCAAAGCTTTACAAACTGACGTTGGCTTACTGAAGACGTCAAAGCCACAGGGAAGCTGGCCTCATGATGAAGAGAGCAAAGATTCCCGTCAGCCGTCAGTGAGCCATGTTCGAAAAGCTCCCTCGATGAATATGGACGGCACGGAAGGCAGCATAGTGGATGAGATCCGCCAAGAACTATCATCTCTGAAGGAAGAAGTGGGAGCCTTGCGGAAATCAATCTCCGAGGGAGAGAAATCGCTCTTGGAAAAGGTTCAGAGCACAGTAGTGCAAGGCAGTGAGATGATGGCGGGCGAAATCGACGGCATTGATGGTCGTACAAAAGACTTGGCCACTCGCGTTGGAATTCTGGAGTCTAAAGGCATCCAAGCTAGGACCCCGGCGCCTACACCTCAGCTTGACTCTCGCGTCAGTCCCGTCACCATCGATTCTCACCTTTCCAACAGGATCAAGGCCATTGAGGATGCAGACCTGGTGACGAGTTTAAACAATGTGACCGAGAAGCTTGACCAATACTGCCAGTTATTTGACCTAAGTCAAAGACAAGCTGGTATTGAGGAAATCAACAGGGTGAAGATCGCTTGCCAGAATCTGAGCAACACGATGAGAGAGCAGAATAGTTCAGTACGGGGCCAACTCGACCAGCAAGAGCTACAGCTGCAGAATCTTAATGCTCATTTCAACAACATGAATACTCGAGGAATGGCACAAACAATTCTCAGTCAACTCGATGCCTACACCACAAGGTTCAGTCCTCAGTTTGATTTGGTCCACGCCAGACTCGACCGGATGGAGGGGCGATTCGATACATATGCTCGTCGATTCCAGTCTGATCCCAATGGTCAGGACCCATCCAACAAGAGGCCATCAGTAACTCTTGAGTCTGATGCGGCAAACAAGAGAAGACGAGTGGCAAGTGGTAGTCCTGCCTTTGGCACTCCTGCCTATGCCTCTTTTTCTGGTCCTGGTTCCGGCTTAGCACCACAACAGCAAATGCCACAGCCAATGCCACAGCCAATGCCGCAGCAAATACCGCAGCAAATACCGCAGCAAATGCCACAACCAATGCCACAACAAATCCAACCGCGGCATATACTGCCGCAGCAGATACAACAGATGCCCACACAATCTCGATAAGAGACGTATCTGAGCGAATCGCAGCCACAACAGGCCGGTGCCAAAACCCAGAATAATTGTACCCTGATCAAGACTGCCACTGTCGCTCTAGATCTGCATTCATTGGTTGGACCACTTCAATAGTGGAACTTAGAAAAGATTGACGATGTGATAGGTTAGGTGTGTTTGTGTTTTCCATGTGTTTCCGCTTCCGCATATGTTCTCAGAAAGGCTCGAGGACAAAGTGTTTTGCTTTTACTTTCATCATTTCGCATTGCCAAGGATACCCACATACATTCTGTTAGTCATTGCCTAGTTTTCAAAGGGTAAAAAAGGGGAGTGTTGGCGTAGATGGTTCAGGCGAGTACATGAGCACCAGGGACGTCCATAAACCTGACGGTAAATAGTACGAATACAATACAATAGCTGCGTTGCACATGGCACCGTAGCTAGTAATCTTGTTTTAGCTCGTCTATATTGCCAATTGTGGCCAATGTGACTTACATGTTATTGATTGCGTAGAGGATAGCTTGCCTCGAATACATTTATTGCAGATTTGCTTGGCATTTTTATTATTGTCATACCAGATCTATGTCTATGAAAACTTTTATCAAACGCTTTCCCCGTGTAAACATGCATATATGAATCATTTGCAACGTGATTCATCCGTTGGTAGCAACGAACATCGACTTTACTCTTTATTGTAGTCCCTAAAGTCACTCCCTTGTTTTCTTGGCAACTTTCTCTAGAAACCAGACTAGGGTTTTTTGTTCTGTTTCCATCTTGCCTCATCACAGCAGCTTCAGACCACCGGTAATCTTGTCGACTAGGCTCTTGGGGGCAGGCCCGACGCCGAGCACGGTCATACTGCCAGCCTCGATCTGGGTACGACCGGCGTCTTGGATGTATTCGGCAGTCAGGCCCATGGCACGGGCACGCTTTGCTAGCTCCAATAGCTCCTCCTGAGACTTGATTTGGACGGCGATTTTGGCCTGGCCGCGATGCTCCCAACGCCGCAAGTACCGGCCAGCCGTCGAGGTGGGGGAAGCGGCTGCGAGTTTCTTGTAGCAGGCGAGGGTGGCGTGTGAGCACTGAGCTGCGATCTTGCCTGTTATGGGAGAAAGGATGGAGGTAAGCACGTGTATGTGGACGATTGAAAATTGGGTTTTAGGAAATGAAGAACGAAAAAAAAAAGTCCTTACCTTTGGTCATGCCCAAATCCGTCCGTACCACCAAGACCAGCTTGCATTCCTCATTGGGGTCGGCAGCGAGCTCGTCGAGCTCAGACACGGTATTTTCTTTGACTTTCTTTACTCTTTGCTCCTTCCTATCAGCATCGAGAGATCTGGTCCAGTTCGGGGCGTGGTCAAGCAGAAAGTCGTCCTCGTCCACGTCGGACTCCTCACTCTCCTCGGGGTCGGCCAGGTTGCGGCGGCGCTCCTCTATCAGATCAGGGCTGAGAAAGTAACCACGAATAGAGTATACACCCATCATGAAGCCCGAGAGGAAAGCAACGATGCTCGTCGACAGAATCATGGCCGTCGGCGTGAAGCTGAAGCCGGGTTTCTCTGTGAACGACATTGTGGCGTTTGTGAAGGTTTTTCTTGAATCCCCGATATTTGTTTCGCAACGCCTCTGAAGCAAGCTTTCCGTGCGAGACTGGCGAGCGGCCTATGTGAAGTGTTCTGTTGCGAGTCTCTCTCGAGTCGTGCGCAAAAAGGTATTCTCGACCTAATTGGTTGGTGGTTTGTCGTTGCGAATTTCGAGTGCGGCTCAACTTGAGATGTTGATCTAAAACCTGAACACCTGTGCAGACTAGGTAAGGAGCTTCGGGAGCTAAACTGGGTATCAGACAAGGGACAAGGAGAAAAAAAGCCAGGCCCCCAAAACACGCACCTAAGCGCGACCCCACGTCACGTATAGGCGGTTCCAGTGCACTGTTCTGGAACGCCTAAAACGTCGTTTTCCCATGACAAGGTTCCATCCATTCCACTCTGGGTCCCCCTGGGTGTAATGTAGTGTAAGGTGTACACTAACGAAGAGCCGCAAGATCAATTTACTTTACATTCTGTCCATCATCTAAAGGGACGTTTTGCTTCATGTTGTGGATTATTCTGTACCTGAATGTGACAATTACTACCATACAAAGCTACGCTCAATTTCACATAACTCTAATCCAATCAGATCTACTCGAATAATATGTCTTGGGCTTTGATGAGTTCCATCTTTTTTTTTTCCTCTTAAATTTCTATGAGTATCCATGCGCCAAAGGTGCGCCCTTACTAGAGAGGGATGCTTGGTAAGGTATTTTGCTTGCTGCATGTTGCAGACTTCATTCAGTGCGATCTGATAAGTACAATGGGCAATCCAATCTTCACCAAGTCGCCATCATGGCAAATCGATATTTATTTTTCATACTAGGAAATACTATGCAAAAACAGTCAGCTGCCAGCAGCCAGCACGTCGGTTCCTTCTATTCCAGAAGAGGTCAGAAACGTCAGATCGGCCGGCACATCACTGTCTGCACCAAACCCGATCTGGGGTTTTTCTGTAGGCACTATAATAAGTCACAGAGGATGCTGGTCAGCAAGTCAGTTGCAAGTCACTTTTGTGGCGGCTTGCCTTATCAAATGCACATCCATATCATGCTTGTCAAACCTGCGAGATGATTGCCTTGTAGATTGCCCCCTCCTTTCATCGAGATGGGCTGTCTATCGTTCTGGATAGAAGAAATAATAAATAGAATATATTTTGCCTTTTTTGAGTGCATGTGTTTGGTATTTTGATTTGCTTAACCAGATCTCCCTCTATGACTTGCTTTGGCTTGCTCTCAGGGCTTATGGAGTGTACATTAGGTAATGTAGGTACCTCGCTAGCCTGAGCCCAGATTTATCACTGGTAGCAACCGTCAACTTTAACTCTTCCCCTTCCTCAGGCCAGCGGAGAAAGAAAAGAAAAAAACAAGGAGGACCCCGTCGCGGATCAATCAGCCAAGTAGGAGGGAGGAATCGCGCAACCCGTCGCCCGCCAGCGACCAACCTGCCCACTGCCCTACCTTGTTCACCCTGCTACCTACTACTACTACTACCTAATCACCTTTCAGCTCTCAATTGGGATTGGATCTGACCCCCGTTCAAACCCCCCTACCACCCACACCTACCTGCCTTACCTACTATTGACCTCTCCCGGCCACTTGAGACAAATCGGACGGGCAAGCGAAGCACAAGCACAAGCAGCAAACACAACACAGGCACATTGTCCGAGAGATACTTGCCTACGCACGCATACAATAACATTTTCGGGCTTGCTTGCAATTGTTCCCTATTGTTCGCACATCCTATTTCTGACGCGATTCGTCCCCCCCTAGACTTTTCCAACTGAATGGGCTAGATGCGCTTGCGCACACCACGGTCGCAAAGGGTCACAAGCATTGGGAGGTTTGGATAAGTCAGCACCCGCTGCCCGCCCAGTCGCGTATTCTACGTATTGGACCAACTCCGCAAAGACTCCTCCTACCTGGGAAGACATACCCAGGACCCAGAGCCGCCCCCCGACACGACAAAGACGCGGCCAGCCCACGATAAGGCGCGAATTGCTGCTTGCCCGCATTGCAACCACACACAACTGCAACACCCGGCAAAGGTGCGCATCTTTGATCGAGGGCAGCGCGCCGCAGCTTTGTATTTCCTTGGTCGGATCAACCATCAGCAAGTCGCGTCGCTCATCATCTCCTTGCTCCCCCATTTGTCTTGCACCCAAGGTCAGTACTATGCGGCCCGCATAAACCGCTCCCTATCCTATCCACCCTTTCCTATTCTATCCTATTTTATATAGCACACCGCATCGTGAGATATCATCACGACTTCATATCTGTGCTTCTTCTGTCACGACCAGATAAAGGCACCTCATTTCATTTCCCCTTGTCCATTTGTATCTTCTTGCCTTCATTTCACTGGACCATGCAGCTGTTCAAATCCAATTGCTATCACCATGGAGATCATTACCGCTAAACTCTAAAGTTCAGATATTCTACATAATCTCTCCACCCGCGCAACGACGATCCTTTGTCTACTTCAACTCAGCTACCTACATAAAGGAATAACTCCAACACCTGCCACATATTTGATGAAACCGTTCCGATACTGCGCGCAGCTGGTCGAGCTTGCATGAGGACAAAGAGATGACCATGGAGGCGGCAGCCAAGTCCATCAAGAGTCTCATCAGCGTCTTGCCCGACCGCCCCCATCAATTGTCCATCGTACCCGATTCGCGATACCAGCTCCAGCCCAACGACACGCGCTTGGAGGAAGATGCCATTCGGCCTCTTCAGTACATGACCTATCTGTTCGATATCGACCGGGGTCTTTTACTCACCAGAGCATATTCGGACATACGCGACGAAGAGAGCTATGCGCCCAAGCCCTCAAAGCCGCCGCAAGACTCAACCAAACCAAAGACAAAAGTCTCCCTGCAGGACTATAAGAAAAAGAAGCAGGAAAACAACTCAGCAGCCGACAGCAACACGCCGACGCCCAGGTCGTCTGCGCCCAAGCCTGTCGACAAGGAGCGAGTACCTGTTGTCAAAAAGGAAGAATCGCCGTCAGTCGACAGCATGTTGAAACAGACTACTTTGAAGAAGCCTCATCCAAGCTTACCACCAAAACCCGATGTGCGTCGCCCAGGCGCAGAGCCGTCTCCCGAGAGAAAGAAGCGGCCTACAGACGTGAACGAGGAGCGTTCTATAAAACGCACCAAGCTCGAGGGCACCCCCAATGGAGTGCCTCGAGTACCGTCCAAGTCCGAGGCGTATAGCAGGACAGCTGACAAGGCAAACTTGAACGACAAGAAGTCGTCCAAGGAGCTGAAACCTTCGCCGATGCCTGCCACGAATGGCAGATCTGCCATCAGCAACGCAAGCACACGAGGCCCTTCGCCGCGGCCGAGCAGTCAGGCCAATGGCTCGTCGCAAAAGTCCGCCACAAGCAAAGACAGCACACCCAGGAAGGAGAAATCAGGGTTGGGCTCAAAGGAACTCAAATCCATGCCCATGTTGTCCCCAATTGGCCCAGAACTTGGTTCCATGATTCCAGGATATGACTCGAGCCCGCGAAATAGGCCAGGAGAGAAGGACAAGGAGGCAAAGTCGCAGAGTAGGCGAGCGCGTGATGAGCCAGACCGGTCTTCGACGCCCAAAAAGAGCAAATACGAGCTCCCGCCACTCCTTTCGCCCACCCTCCCCCCTGTCGTTAGGGAAGCACAGGCTTCAGCAGAAAAGGACAAGAGATTAAATGGTCTATCAAGCCAACTCGCGGATGTTGCCAGTGCCAAGAAGGCGCCAGCGAAACTAGACAGAGACGACGTTGATGGCAAGGACGCGAAGGAGGAAGAGCGTACGAGGATTGTGAAGCTCAAGTATCCAAAGAGGATCGCTAAGACCATCTCTCGGTTACTGGCATTGGCGCCCAAAAAGAAGCACGACACATCGAGGAGGGAGCTTTTGGAGCCGCCAAGGAAAGACGATCGTACGGGCCGGGAGCGTTCCGAAAGCGCGGAGCCACCATCAACGGCAACGGCCCGCAAGCGTCCCCGTACGGCTACGGACGCGGGCGATCACCCGTCTGCTGCGATTAAGCGCCCAAGAACCTCGGATGTTGTGCAGCCTTCTACACCCTCAAAGCACAGTATTGCTATGCAACGGGTAGCTTCGAGCAGTTCGCAGGCCGGGACACCCGGTACGACCAACAATCTCACACCAGCAGCCCCCGTCCCTGATCGTCGGTCAGCTTCGGTGGACCCAGAAAGGACTGGCAAGCTGCGAGATAAACATGCACTTCTGAGCTCACTAGGCACGAAGCTGAAACATCAGAGGGATCGCATCATCAAGCCAAACGGCATTATATCAAGCAATCCGACCCAGTGTGACCGCCACGCTCTCATGGCCACGGACCTGCAGTCACTCGTGGCTTACATGGCGGCCTTTCAGGCCATGGACGAGCTACGCGACATTGAGCGCAAAATCAGGGATCCAAGCCTGTGGAGGAGTCTTATGCCCCTCATCAGAGTGTACAGAGGTGACTGCGGTCATTCGAACCAGCTTACGGCACTAATCACGCGGTTGCACTGCATTACTCTCCTGTGGCAGAGTCGATCTCTGGTAGCCTTGGGCCCCGATAATGCCAAGAACGCAAGAGAGATGTATCAGGTCACAAAAGATCAAGACCAAATGTGGAAACAGGCCATGGAAGCCAGGAAACGGCTCGACGATGCGCATGGCGGTGATGACGGCGGTGTGGTGGCCAAGTTGATTGACCAGCTTGGCCCCTGGTCGACTTCCGAAGACGTTGTGAGCATCACGATCAAGATCCTGCGAAAGACCGTACGACTGGACGACGAAAAGTTCGTGCCCCTGCGCGAACTGATCCAGGCTTGTGAGCCACTCACCAACGGCCCATGATGATGATCATGACTGCCAAGTCAACCGAACATATTTTCTTTGCCTATGTATATTATTAACGACCCTGATGACGCTGATACCATATTTTCTTCATATACTCGGCGGTTGCTCTGGCACCAATTTCAAACTCGAACAAACACGGAAGAAGTCTGGAGGAAGTGAAGATGGACGGTTAATAGGGGCCTGGCTATCTACTCATTGAAAGGGGAGGGTTTATACCAGAGCACATCTTTTGAACAACGCATTTGGTGTGTGTGAATGTACTATACATGGTTTGTCGTTGTTGTTGTTGTTGTTGGTGGTGGTGGTGGTGGTGTATAGTTCCACAGATGCGTACATGCAACACGGAAGATCCGCACAGGTGTCGATGCGGATGGAGTTCAGTACCTGCGGCGTGGTGCCTGTTGAAAATCAGGCCAACCAGAAGAAACAGGACGCGGGCCCGGAAAGGGAGTTTTTTTTTGGGCGAGAGGCGATCATTGTTGCTTTGATGATATCCCCACGGCTTGGCCGAGCAATGACAATATATTGCAAATGAATTTTGTTTATGCATCATGTAATGATGAGTACTATTGGTTCTTTAATCTCGGTCGTTCCTATCAATCTATCCTTTGATGCAAAATGACAGTAATTCAGCTTGATTGGTGATTGTGATTCTTGAGCAAGAGAGCTGGAAAGTCAACTACCTGTGTATTATCACTAGCCTCACGAAGCCACTGAATAGTTGCCTTTCCATTCTCATTTGATATCTGTTTCTTTCCCAGAATTATTGGACAAGGCTGGACCTGTCTGCATATTACTGCTTCGAATGCCTTGCATGTGAAAAAGAAAGAAAAAGTCGTGAATGAGTTGAGCAATTCGCGGCAGCAATCTTTGCAAAAGTTGTAAGCATGTCCAGTCACCTTCAAAACACATGAATAAAACATGCTTCCTTGATCAGTAGATTATCGAGAGTGGCATCGTAGTAAGACAGAGAGCATTGATGGTACATTATATTTCTGCCTCTGGATTACTGCCGTGCATACAAGATACTGCCATCTAAGATATATGGGCAGAATTTCGGTCGTTTGGTGTAACTCTTATAACCAATACTTGCCAGTATGACTGTTGCTTATTCAGTCGTCATTACTGATACACGCCAAGTACTGGTCTTTTCGCCTCCAGGCAATAACTCAAGACGAAACCTAAGCAGAAGCATGATGGCCAGGCTTGAGCTCCTCGGCAGTCGTATCTGCCACTCCGAGCTTTTCTACATCCTTGCCGACCACCGAGCCTTCGAAGCTGGGCTGCTCGACATCTTGAGCGGCAGTAGTGGCTTTCCTTTTGCGCTCCCACATGACAAAGCACTGGATGACGCAAACGCAGATGATGGCTGCAATGGTGAAGCCAAAGGTGGAAGGAAATCCCTTGCGAAACGTGGGCCCTTCGACCTGCGGGAAAATAAGGATGGGCAACCACGCGGCCACAGCATACTGGAAGCCGTTCATGGAGCTCACCACCAAAGCTCTCTCCTCGTTGTTGTCGGCGCAGATCTCGTTGGCCCAGGTGTAGCTACAAAATTAGCTTCATTCATATAATACAGTGGCCAAGACCTACAATATGGCAGTCATTAATTGAACGCCGCTTGTCAAAAAAGCAAATTCCTTAAGCTGAACACTGGCTGGCCAGAATGCCAGTATACCGGTTGGCAAAAGCCCAAAAGTCTAGCATACACTGTTAGTAGCCATGATCCATAATGCAAAGCATTTGACAGATTGAACTTACAAGAGGTCCCACGATAAAGGCAAATCGAGACCCCGTGTAATCAGACAAAAATCCCCACTGCTCGCATATCAGCAAATCGTCGACGGCCAAAACAAGCACACATCAACCCACCAGCACAACGCAGAAGCCCGAGATGAGACTCGTGCCTGTCGGAATGATATTGCGTAGCTCGACGGAGAACCCCTCAGCCTTGAGCCAGATGGAGAAGTAACCGCTATTCTGGCAACTTGTACCATACAGCTGGATGACTCGGCGTCAGCAAGGAGTCAAACTAGCCAAATTGTGTTTCTACTCACCACATAACCAAGCACCAGCAACGGCCAGCCTGAATGATCAAAACTTATTAGCACACACGATAATAGCGTTTTTCTGACATGAAATGATGAACCTACGCCATCCTCTCAACACCTTGAATACTCTCTTCAATGTCAGTGGAGCTGGCGGCGCCTTGCCAGCGTTTTGAGCCCTCTGCACACCTAGTTCCTTTTCCTCGTTGGACAAGAAGAATGCCCTGGTCGTGTGTGGTGTGTCTGGGAAGAAGAAGGCTGTGACAATTCCCACAGGTAGTGTCATGACTCCGCAAATAATGTAGAGCCATCGCCAACCGGCCATGCCGTGCACGCCATTGAGATTTTCGTATACCGCCGCTTGCTAAGGATTCTGTAAGAGAATGCACATTGAGGTTACTCAGAGGACGAGGTAGGGTCTTACTAAGTAACCGCTGAATGCGGTGCCAACAGGTGCAGTCATGTGCAATATCGCGACTCGCTTGGCTAACGATCTAGTTAGCATGTGCTGCGTATGCGCTGATTATTCATGCTCATGACTCCAACATACCTAATTCCGTCTTGGTGTACCAACTTCCGAGAACAAACAGCATACACGGAAACCACGAGCTCTCAAAGAAACCAATCATGAACCTAAAGACATAGAGCTGCGTGTGATTTCTCAGACCGGCCTGGGCAAATGTAAAGCAGCCCCAACCAATTTCCATGAATGCCAACCACCAGCTGGGTCGAACACGCTGGATAATCAAGGTACTGGGGATCTGCATGATGGCATAGGCGCAGGTGTAGGCAGTCTGGGCATAGGTATACTCATTGCCGTACATTTGCAGGTCTTCCTGCATTCCGCTGCGAGGAACCAAGTCCCGTTAGTCTCTTGTTCACCACAATCAAGCAATATGCTCCTCGGGTGCTCACCTAACATAGGCATTGGTGATGTTATTCTGGTCCAGGTATTTGAGCTAGAGGCAATGTTAGCAAGTGAGAGAAAGAGTTTCTAACATACCTAATAATAATAATACGTACGAAGAACCCAAAACATCCAATTGTCAAGATGGACCAATCCAATTTTCTGAGAAGCTTTCTCTCTTCTGGACTCTTCAAATGGGTATCCGTATCCCATATGAAGGAGCGGAACTAGCATTTCATTAGATCAAGGTCATATTATCAAGTATACTCCCAAACCATCACTCACTGATTTCCTAGGCTTTTCTTCCGTGACTTCGGCCATTTTGCTCACGGTCAAGACAAAGAGACAAGACAAGATGATAGTCGATGCGGAGAGTCAAGATGGGCACATCTCACGATAGATAAAGCAGACGGCGTAAAGAGCCAAAACACTGATACTACGTATCTTGCATACCATGCTTCTTGGTGGGGAAAAACATACCATCCATCCCTCGCCCCCAAGACCAGACTAAGCCAAGAGTATACAACTTGCGTGAGCTTGCAATCGCATGCGATAGCAGGGGTCGCGCACGCCATTCAAGAGCCAGAGATTGGCCCAGAAAGCAAAACCCCTCCTCCACGGAGTACACCACCCGTGCAGAAATTCCCTGCGGTAACCCGGTCACCATGATATCCATCTGACTGATATGTAGCTAGGCGGGCCCCGGTGCCGCATATATTGAGCTTGCCTCGGCGCCTCTGTTCCGATGGAATGGGTAGAGCGCATCCGGACCAGCAAGGCATGAGAAAGACGTGCTTGCACGGGGGTATTTGAACATGATGTTTCTTTCCCATTTTCTGTTTGTCATTTTATTGATCATCTGTGTTGCTAATGTTCTCGCCAACAAGGTCTTGCTGGGTTCCTGACCAGGTGCTTTGGCAGAGACCATCTCTTCGTCATGTTTGAGGTTGCGGTCGGGATCCGGCAATACGGTAGCGATGTGAGAGGAGGAGATAAAGGTGCAGCAAATTGTTCTCACGCGACAGTTTCACGGACCCTTGTACGTTGGGTGATTTGACAAGCCTATTTGTAGGCTTTTTGCATCTTTTAATATCAAAAAGTGGAGGTTTTAAAGATGATAAATAGAATGCAGATTGAGTCAATGCCTCGAGATTTAAACCAGTGCCGCCGCGATCCAAGGTTGGCCAATACAAGAACAAAGTGATGAGATGCATCGTCTAGCAGGAATCTACCTCAGCCATGCCGTGTAAGTGACAGGATCATTTGCATTATCTTTGCAACTCCATTAAATTGTGGGCTCAAGTCTATACTAACTGAACTAGGTCATGTAGATCGTTTGATCCATAACGGCTCTCCATCATTGCTGTCAGAAAGCGAGAAACTCTCAAGTGGGCAACCTACATATGCTGGAACACAAGTGAAGAGTGGATTTGCACTCGAGCATTGGTTGAACCAAAAGTCATGTCTTACTCCAACAGACTCTGTCTCCCTCCATGCTATTTTCCCAGTGAAAACTTGAAATGGAGTAATGGTTCGCACATCAATTAGTCAAAACTTTGGCTTGAGTATTGCCATTGTACAAACATGACTCACCACAGTTCAAGGCAGCGGACACATGCGCAAGATTATCAATGTTTGTCAAGTACCTGCCTGAAGAGACAGATCAATCATTGCTGCTGCTCATTGCACTCTTATATGAAGTAATGCCACCAGGGAACCTCATATTTTGCGCCCAAGGACAGATGAGGTCATGTGTACGAGCCAACAATATGGGATATCCGATGTGGAAGCTTCACATTGCAACAGGCGCAATGAATGTTGCACAAAAGGCAAGGCCATTTGGGGCACAAACTATAGGCGTGGCAAGTTGACCTGGTTTAACTTGTACCGACGGGCTCTGGCCTCGAGGAGAAGATGAGCTTGTGTTTGACAATTTCCACCACCTCGAGATCCTCGATTTTGTCCTCCGCCGCAGAGTCTGTCGTCTCGTTGCTACCAGGGCGTCTGCGGATAATGGCCATGGCCTTGGGCAGCTTTTTTACTTCGCCAGTGAGTCTCTGATGTTGGCCGACGTACAAGTGGACACGCTTCATCCACGACGTATTGGACGGATCCAGAGCGTTGGGGTTGTAGTCCGGGAAAGTTATACGGCCAATAGGTATTTCTGGTGCTTGTCCCTCCATTTCAGGGTCTGTCTCTGGAAGGTTGATGGTGCCTTGCAATTCCAACAGTGCCAGCCCCGATGGTGTTTGGATGAGTTGAGGCAAGGGATTGAAGGTGAGGCTGGTTGCAGCCGCGGGACGTGGATGAAGCTTGATAGAAGATGCCATGGTTTGCACTCTGAAAGAGAGTTGGTGTTGAGCGAGTGTCTGTGCTTCTCTGTCCTCTTTGGCTGACTGCCAAAATCTGCTTTGCCTTTAATTGTTCTCCTTGTTGTACCACAACCCTCGGCGCCTCTTTATTTACGCCGTTGAAGCATCAATAATGAGTTGCAGCGAGTTTCATTGACCTAGATCCAATAGCAGATCGGTGAAAGTCCGGGCCTCTAGCCGTGGACGCGACGTGCAGAGTCGAATAGCGAGTCGATAAGAGGGATACCTAAGCAAGATAAGGATAAGACTGGCCGATGAGAGAGCACTGGCGCATCTGAATAGCCCCACTTCGAGCAAAAAGAGTACGTACCCAAGAAGCTGCAGCGGCTAGAGACAAAAAACCCTGAAGCACAGACCAGGCCCGAAAAATAGAGCCCACACAATTCAGATTTCTCTCAACTCTGGTGTGGTCGTGGTTTTCCGTGATACACCTCCGACTTTTCGCACTTCTCGACAAGCACCACCGACTAACCCAACAGCAAGTCGCCCACCCACAGCTTCCGTCAAGATGAAGTTGAACATTTCCTACCCTGCCAATGGCAGCCAGAAGCTGGTCGAGATTGAGGACGAGCGTAAGCTCCGGGACTTCATGGAGAAGCGCGTACGTTGTTGCTGTTCACCGTCGAATTTTTTCTTCAGAACCGTCTTGGGGACATTGTTTCCAAGATTGAGCGCATCCACCGCCAACTTGCCCTGCCGCCTACCTGCCAGCCAGCCAGAGAATCAACTCAGATCGAATTCTGCGAAACGATTGTCAAGAATCTTTGAGAGAGCAAAATTTCATACGCCGCAGACGCTTTTGCAATAGGTGGAGCAACATTAGGAGTTGGGGAAAATCCAGAAAAGCATCGGTCGATTCGCATCTCTCTATGGCAACGCAGATGGGGGCAGGCGCAATGGCAGGATCAATGATGCTCGGTTCTGGCATTCAAGCAAGAGACGACCAACAATACTAACTGATACTCTGAACAGATGGGCGCTGAGGTCCCCGGCGACAACCTTGGCGACGAGTTCAAGGGCTACATCTTCCGCATCACCGGTGGTAACGACAAGCAAGGTTTCCCCATGAAGCAGGGTGTCATGCACCCTACCCGTGTCCGCCTTCTGCTCTCCGAGGGCCACTCCTGCTACCGCCCCCGCCGCACTGGTGAGCGCAAGAGAAAGTCCGTCCGTGGCTGCATCGTCGGCATGGACCTTTCCGTCCTTGCTCTCGCCGTCGTCAAGCAGGGTGACGCCGACATCCCCGGCCTGACCGACGTCGTCCACCCCAAGCGTCTCGGACCCAAGCGTGCCACCAAGATCCGCCGCTTCTTCTCCCTCAGCAAGGATGACGATGTGAGTGACCGTCCACCACAACAGCTCGTCATCGCCTGCCCGGTCGTTGCTGCTGCAGGATGAGAGAGATGAATCCTTTGCAATGATACCACCGGGCAGAGTCTGAGATGCGAGGTGATGTACAAGGGATACACAAGAAAGCTGTGCTAATGGAGAAAATTTTCTAGGTCCGCAAGTACGTCATTCGCCGTGAGGTCCAGCCCAAGGGTGAGGGCAAGAAGCCTTACACCAAGGCCCCCAAGATCCAGAGACTGGTTACTCCCCAGCGTCTCCAGCACAAGCGCCACAGAATCGCACTCAAGCGCCGCCAGTCCGAGAAGGTCAAGGATGAGGCTGTACGTTATTTTTCCCTTGGTCAAAAGTTTGTTCTTCAGTAACTAATCTTGTTCGTGTTCAGGCTGAGTACGCTGCCCTCCTTGCCAAGCGTGTCTCCGAGGCTCGCGCCCAGAAGGCTGATGCTCGCAAGAGACGTGCCTCGTCCCTGCGCAAGTAAGATGTCTCTCTACATGGCGTTGGGTTAGGTGTCTCGCTTCCTTCTGGTTCTCTTGCATTGCGGAAAGGGAAATGAACATTCATGACAAAACGGACAAATAAAAAGTTTTGTCGGCTTGGCTTAATTAGTGGGTACCATTACTTGAGGTATGGTTTCTAGTAACCCCTGATAGCTAGATCATGAGAAGATGTAATTTCTCGGCACAAAATAAAGGTTGATGATTCCCGATGATGCCCACTTCAGTTTCTGTCTACCTTGACGTGATTGTCTCCTCAAATCTTTCGAGACTTCACCATTTGTGATCTCACCAATTGTATTCTCGTCTTTGTTTCCAACAGACCACCTCATGTTGTATCCACTTATCCATCCCAGGGTGACTGGACTCCCAAGATGATATTCAGCAATATTTAGTGAATCATGCATCTGTATTCCTTGCCCACTGGTACATGGACTGAATTTTTAGAGAGCGTTGATGTTCGGCCACCAATTCATACGACTCACGAATGTCCTATTTCTACAACTGCCTACTCAAATGCGGAAAGGTTGATATGCTGCTTGCTTGGGGGTGGATCGATCGAGACGTTCACCATGTCGATTATCATTTTTACTCGTCCATACCTTTATTGGTGCGACAGGCTGGAGGGCTCGCTCAACTTTGTTCGAAAATACGAGTTGAATAGAGGAAACCTCCAGGAACGAATATGCATACCTCAGTCACAAGTTGAAACACAGCAGCGAGAGAATGAACTTGCAATCCTTCTATCAAAGGGGTGAGTATTGGAGCCGATGGAACCTCATTGGCTGTGCGGGTGAAAATTGCAGTGAAATAATCTCGGATGTGGAATGTTGAATTCTCTACTTTGCCGTGTTATATCTTGACAAATTGAGACCATGCATTTTTGTAAAGCGCCTGCTGGAGAAATTTGGCATTGCCTTGATCAACCTGCCTCTTCTTGATCGCTTAGTCTTTACCAGAATACACTCGCACATAATACGCCTATACCCAACAGCATACATTATTTGCGTGCTGAATGCCTATACGTACGTATCTTGGAACGATAGAATTTGTGTAACTTGTGTGATTGAGACTTTTCTCGCATTTATCATGCTCCAAAAGCGTTGTCGAGAACAGCTGGTCAGTTATTGTTAAAGGATTTCTTGAATTCATTAGCAATACTAATACTAGATGAATCCTTCTCGAGTGCATGTAAAAGGACAACATGTAACTTTGTTTGTTCTGATGTGCCAGGTCCTCTCGTTGCCAAGAGGTGAACCATGACCAAGATTGGCATACATCATCTACATGCGTGTTGCTAGAATTTGTTTTAAACTCAATCTTGTTTCCGCTTGTCTAATGTTGTGCTCTGCAAATGGCACTTCTGGAACTACTACATCCCACCAACCTGGAGACATGAGTTATGTATTCAATGATCAATATCGCCGGAATGCAGACAATGCCAGTGAAATCAAATCTTACCCACCCCCCAACTTCTTACTTGGCTTTTCTATGCTCCAATATCAAATGACAAACCAGTACTTCAACATCTACGTCGGACAGCAAAAAGGGGGGACAATCAAGCAATGATGTTTCCTTTCTTTTTCTCTTTCGCGATTTTAAAAAACAAACCAAAAAAACTCCATTGAAGAAAGAAAAGGAGGAAACCTCAAAAACCGATACCAGTCAAGTTACCTGAGCGCCTGAAAGTTGGCCCTCTTGGCCAAGCCCTTTGCCCTTTCCCACACAATAGTGCCAGATCCCTAGACAGGCGCATGCGTGAACAGGAAACTGACACTCTCGCCATTGTGCGTTCTGCGGATGGCCTCGGCTAGAGTCGGCGAGACGTCAATTACTCTCAGCTTCTTGCATTGTTGCTCCTTTTCGCCCAGCGGCACCGTGTTGGTGACGACAATCCGCGAGAGGACGCTGTTGTTGAGAATGTTGATGGCGTCGCCGCTGAGGATGCCGTGGGTGACAATGGCTACAACCTCGGCGGCGCCATTCTCGGAGAGGACCTGGGCGGCCTTGGCGAGGGTGCCGCAAGTATCGGCCATGTCGTCGACCAAGATGGCAACCTTGTCCCTGACGTCTCCCACCAGCACCATGCGGCCGACAACGTTGGGGCGGGGGCGCTCCTTGTGGATGAGAGCAAAGCCCTTGTCGAGGCGATCGGCTATCGAGGTGGCCCTCTTGGCACCGCCGGCATCGGGACTGACAATGACAATGTCCTCGTTGCCCAGGTTCTCCTTGATCCATCTCAAGACGCTGGGCTCGGCGTACAGGTTGTCGACAGGGACGTTGAAGAAGCCTTGGATCTGGCTGGCGTGCAGGTCCATGGTGATGACGTGGTTGCATCCGGCCGTGACCAGCATGTTGGCAATGAGTTTGGCGGAAATGGGCGCTCTGCTCTTATCCTTCTTGTCTTGTCTGGCGTAGGGAAAGTTGGGAAGGACGGCGGTAATGCGGCGGGCGCTGGCGGTGCGGCAGGCGTGGATCATGATGAGAAGCTCCATCAGACCGTCGTTGATGTTGTTCGGGGCCGTGGATTGCAGGATGAAGACGTCCTCGTCTCGGACCGACTCGCCGACGGTGACGGATGTCTCTTGATTCGAATAGTTGAGGCACATGGTCTTTGCGATCTCAATGCCGAGCCTAGAGTAGGGGAGAGGTTTGTTTCAGCTTCCCGCACGTTTTTGAATCCATCCCCAAAGCAATCCAACGTCGTGATGTATTGGGATTATCGGCTGCCTCTCCAAGCACACTTGAGAGTTTGTGAGAGGCATAGTCGTTGACCCCAGTCCGCTACAGCTCAGTGCTGCAATATCTTTTCGTTTTTCCCCCCCTCATTGTGCAATAAAGGCCAAAATGAAGGGCGCAAGGAATGGAGAGAATTCAGAGACCTACCGATCAGCTACGGCCTTGGCCAAGCTCGGATGGCTGTTGCCCGAGAGCAATTTGATCTCGTTTGCCATGTCGCCCATGGTGAAGAATTGCTCCAACTAGGTGAGCAAAGATTGATCGGTTGATTTAACGTGTGCCGCCGCCGGGAAGAAAAAGAAGAAGCAATTTCCCTCCCAAGTAATCGCTCTGTAGCACAAGCGCTAGAAGGCGGCGATAGGCGGGATGTGCAGAGTCGAGTGACACGAGCTTCCACGGATGTAGACGACGGACGATCCTATTGGGGTTCGATTACAGGTGTAGGAAGATTGTGCGACCCGTCTTGGTTCTTTGCGCGGTTCGTGGTTATCGATGGATTGCTGCTACAGTAAGTGGCAGTGGAGGGGTTCCAAGTCTCTGTCGACGGGAATATGCGACTTTTCTGGTCTTGTCCAAGATTCGTTGCAAAAGAAGACGGGAATAAAGTAAGTAAAGTTACTCAAATTGCCCCCTTTGCAAGCAATATGTTAATGATCCGTCGTGTCTCTTTTGGCTTGTACGAGTCAAAATGAAGGTGTTGGTGAGAAGCCCTCAAGACTTGCGCCTGAATCTTATCGTGAGTGACAAAAAGTTTTTGCTGGAGCTACGGAACGAACCACATGCACTTGCAGGACTTGATGGTTGGTTCCCGCTTCTGGCCGCTGCCCGCCTTATGTAGATCGCCTTTAGGCCTCGTTTTTTTTTTTCCCTCTTGGGCCTTACTCAACTCGCCGGCCCCAAACCTTCTTTCTCTTTCTCTCATCCCTTTACTCACTCTTTTACTTCAAGAATGCGGGGAAGGAAAAAGGATTGATTAAATTAAATCTCTTCAGGAGGAATGCTGCCGTACTCGTGCGGACCAAATTCCGGCCTTATTTATTATACATATTCCTACTATTCTTTCCCTGTCCCGTCACATGTACATATTTGAACAAAATTGATTATTGCGGGGTAATTGCAAAGAAGGCACCGTACCCTGGGTAGGTACTACACTACTACCATGTGTGTAGCAAGCTCATGCGGGCTGTCCAATTATCGATAAGCCTTTTGAAACACTTTCCAGAGAGAAACAGAAAAAGGTCCAAAGTCCCTGAGAATCTTAACATGTCGTCATACCCAATCTTTCCTCATGTTACTTTCAACCTACCACGAGTAAGAGTACGACAAAAAATCTATTTGACCCCGAAAGATGATGTCAAGGTTGATTACTTACTTGGCTTGATACAAGCTTTGCTCACCTTCCTTGGCGCTTTATTGCAAGGATGGAGACTGGGTGGCCTTTCGATACTATAGCAATCAATTTTCCTGCTTACTGTTGTAAACATGAATGGATATCTCTGTCATCCTGCCAATCAGTCCGAAAAAGGCCACAAAACATCTACTAATCTCTCATTCACAATCTCAAGTCTGGCACCATTTGTGGGCACGCAATTTTTATCAAATACCTAGACTGCGATCTATTCACATCTATTAACCTTAGTCTGCATGCTCAGAGTCCTAATCTACTGATAGATGCATGGGCGAGGTTGATCATGATCCAAAGCGAGACCGAGACCAGGACCAAACGCTGAGCAGCCTGCACTCCGCTCAACGTGGCTTGAACCTGGCCCGCCTTGGAAATCCTCCAATTCTCGTGCCGCGTGCCTCCATGCCATGAGCAGACCAATAAACCAGGCAAGGAATAACAAAACACTTGCGTAAAACAAACCATTGCCAAATCATCTAAGCAGCATGTGGGCCGCCAAACAAAAAATTCATAACCATGCCATGCCATGCAATGCCAACTGTCTCCATTCGCCGACTCCCCCTTATTTGGTGCTTATGCTCATCGTACAAACCAGCTCCCCGTCGTCATGACAAGAAAAGTATAAGCGGTGGAGACAAGAATGTCTGCCAGCTTCATTTCTGTCTGTTGCTTGCCTTTTCTTTACTCAAGCAAAACCAAAGTAGTCGCTACCAGCAGTGATGGCCTTGAGAATTTGCTGTCGGAGAGTCTCGTAACTCTCGTACTCGGGAAGGTCAAGCTCTGAGATGCCTTAGTCAGCAGTGTTCCAAGCAACATCAAGGTCAAGAGAGAAACTTACGGTTAAAACATGTATGCGAGCTGGGCAAACGATCCTTGTTGCCATAGTCACGGTGAATGTTGAATCGATTAATGCCATTCATTCCCTCGAGCTCTTTGAATCCATTCAGAGGGACCTTGCTGGTTCCCGTGACGAACTGCAAAAGCTTGGCCAGCTCCTCCTTGTCGAATGAACGAACAGCACGCCAGAACCACTGGATCTGTTGACTCGAGGGCGAATAATTCTGATACTCCGTGTTGCTCTTCCAGTCATCCACGTCAATGTCGGGGAGACCAGAGATGAGAAGCTCAAGCTCTTGCTCTGTGAAAATGGACACCAATTCTGCGGGAATGATTTCGTGGAATCCTGCAAGAGTATTAGCATCCTACTGGCTGGTTTGTTAAAAGTCATGGCAGTACTTACCCTTCAAGAAATGTTCCATTTGCTCCTTGACCGAGCTCAATAACTTGTGCTCGACAACAAGACGGACGTAGTCCTGTTTGTTTTCCTCGGTCACGGGGATGTTGCGACCGTTCTCACAGAGATCTTCAACCTTTGTGACACCAAACTCGTCTGTTTCGACCGAGAATGTTTCAGTGATAATATCAGTGATGTCATTTTCCAGCATCCAGACGAGTGACTTGTAGTAGTCGGGGTCGAATGACTCCATATCCTTGACTGACACCGTCTTTCCAAGAATTCGTTTGTAGACGGCGCGGCTGAAGTAGCAGTCAAGAACGCGACCTTCGTAGAGCGCCTTGCCAATCACACGGCCAATGAATTTGAAGAACATGAGATGCTCATCGTTGATGCCACTGAGCTTGTTCGGGTGGAACGTGGTTCGATCGCTTGAAACAGGGACGAACAGAGCGTAGTTGGGGTCAAACATCTGTCGTGATAGTACCTGGAACCATTCTCGGGTGACACCGCCAGCGTCAACACCCTCTTCACCATGGAAGCGAATGTTCAACTTGCCAAACTTCATTTCATCACCACTCTTGAAATAGAGAGACTTGAACGAGTCATGGAAGACCTGGTCACGCCGGACATTCAGTTGCAGCGAGGGGAATGAGCGTCCATCGCGGATCTGGTTTCTGTTATGGACGCTTCGGTTGAACCAATTGCGCTTGTTGTCGAATTCGAGTACCTTGGGATTCTTGACGAGGTTCTGGAATGTACCCTTCATGAGCGAGGGGTTGGTACGGACAAGCTCATTGAGAATACGACGATGCTCCTCGGTAAAGTTGAGGAAGAGATTGGTCATTGGTGACTCTGGTGTTGGGCTCGTGATGGAGACCTGAGTCTGAGCTAGCGCTGGCTCCGGAGTAGTCGTATCTTTGCAAACGACCATGAGGGATTCAATGAGTGGGAGAAGAATCGTGGCCACACTCATCAAGCTCTCACGCTGGCGAATGGCACTGAGGCATGCGCTCAGTCTCTCCCACAGTGCGTGGAATGTGCGATTCCGGTAGAGAGTAGCAAGCAGATCTTGCTTCTTGGTCTCATTGCTGGGTTCGGACTCGGGAGCAGATTCGGACTTTTTCTGAGAGAACAAATGATCCAGCGCCGTCAGGATGCGCAAGAGCTTGTTCTGATCAGCCGCACCAGGAGAAAACTTGGCCAGGGCAACGCCTTGAATCTCGGTGCCCGTGGAAGCCTTCTCAATGTGTGGAAGAAGCTCATCAAGGTGTACAACAATCTTCTCACTGATAACGCGTGCTTGACGTGCCAACTCTTCACCAAAAACGTCCATAGCGTTCGGAATGACAGAAAGGTTCTTAATGGCCGAGAGAGTCTCTTTGAATGTCTTGGAGCTGCACTCCCGAGCAACAAAGATGTTGATGACCATGGTCAGATTGTGGACGGGAATCTGAGGGGGTACATAGGTCTTGACCCGCTTCTGAAGCGCATCGCGTTTCTCCTTGGATTTGCTGACATTCTCAATCAGCTTTTCGAGAGAAGGCGCTTCCGTATCGGCCTTGACGTCTGCAGATTCTTCGGATACTGGTTTGGTTGTGGTAATTAGACCCGTATCGTCTGTCTCCTTTTGTTCGGCGGCTGGAGCATTCTCGGATGCCTTTGCCTTTGCAATGGCAGCTTCTCCTTCATCAATATCCAGCTCGAGGCTCTTGATGGTTTCGTGTGCCTCCTTGAGTTTTCGATCCAAACCAAGGAGTGGAAGAGTTACGCGGCTGAGCAGCTGCGACAAGCTGTCCATAATGCTTGAGCTTTCAATGACCAAGTCGCGATCGAGCAATGCCAGCAGAGAGTTGATGGCATATTTGTGTGATTTCAAGTCGGGGCTTTTGCCTTTGCTCTTGCGGCTTAGGCTACGTTTTAGGGAGGAACCGACAGTGTCATGCTCGCTCAGGAACAGAGCTGGAATGTGCACATCCTCTTCAGCAAGGAAAGAGAGCAGATCCAAGCATTGCTGGACAATCACAACAGGCGATGTTTCGGAATTGGTGATAATAGGAGTGGTGTGAGCAGTATTTGTCAACGATCGCTTGAGAGATTGGGGGGTTTTGCTGTCTTTCTCCTTGGCTGCTTGTCTTGCCTTGATCGAGAGTTGATTGAAACTGCGCTCGACTGCCTCGACATCGGCGGTGCCATCCTGGAGGATTTGGAGCAGAGTGCTGACGACATCAAGTCTGGTCTGTCTGTTCTGACAGATGTCTTTGATGACGTGCTTCAGTGGGTTTTCCATTGTGCTGCTCTTGATGTTGATAAACATGAGCCGAAGAAGTGTGGCAACGCCCGACTTGTCCAGCATCTGCACAATGGTCTTGCGTTCTGGCTTGTTAATGTTGCCACTTCCACTAGCTTGACCGTGTTCTGCATTCCGACCTGCACCGACCAACTCATCTCTAGGACGATGCGCAATGCTGGCGGGGTGGTTACGGACGAGACGTCGAGCCTCATCAACCATATGAGGAGGTAATGAGTCCATCAGCTCTTCACCCTGGTCCAATAGTACCTGTTCGCGAAGATCGGGCGGGAAT